AGTATGATGTGGAATGGAAGTTCCTAAAAGGAAGTGATGAAAGCAGGTGTTGCTATTCCTGATTCTAAGGAAAAGGCTTGAAGAAAGGCTCTCAGCTACCCCTCAGGATGGTGTTTGCTGGGGATTTTTCACATATGACTTTTATCACATTGAGTTAGTTCCCTTCCAGCCCTCCTTACTGAGATTTTCTTATTGTAAAAGGATGCTGGATTTTGTCAGGTGCTTTTTCTGCATCAACCGAGATGATCATGTGTTTTCCTCTTCTATTAATGGATGTATTATTTTGATTTTCCTATGCTGAACCAACTTCACAAACCCACTTGATCATGGCATATGACTCTTTTAGTGTGTTGCCAAATCTGGTTTTCTAGTATTTTCATGTAAAATTTTTGTATCTTTACTCATAATGTCATGAAGGACATTAGTTTATGGTTTGCTTTTGTCTTTTTGTTTGTTTAATACGGGTCTTACTGTATGACCCAACCTGGCCTCACATCATTATTTAGTCTGGTCTTGAACTGTGGTCCTCCTGCCTCAGCCTCCTAAATGCTAGGATTATAGGTGCAAGCCACCAAATGTGGTCAATGGCTTTCTTGTAGAGTCTGTCTAGCTTTAATAACAGAGAAATGTTGGCCTCGGAATGATTTTGGAAGTGTTCCCACCTCTTTACATTTTCATAGGAGTTTGAGAAGGATTGGTGCTAACGCTCCCTTAGGTGTTAAATCTAAGAGGTCACCAGCAGAGCCGTCCTGACTTGTTACAGGTCCGGGCAGATTCTGTTTCCTGAGTCACTTTGGTAATCCACACACCTCTTGGGATTCGTAGGCTTCATCAGTTTAGCTTTTGTGCTGTGAAGCTGGCAGTCGTGCTTGTACTTTGGACGACCTTTTCTGTGTCCCAGGTCACCGCTTCCAGCACAAAGGTCCAGGAGAACTGTCAGTGGTGACCGGCTTCCACAATGGCCTCTTCCGCCTCAGGCTCAGACCCGGGCTGTAGTGTGGGACCCCAAGGGCCAGAGCAGACTTTAGGGAGTGCTTGCAGCAGACAGGGCTCTCCAGGCCCTGGCTCCTTACTCCTCCCAGTGGCCCTGTCCCCTGGGTCCTGTGACCACTCTGGCCTCGCAAGTGGGGAGACTGAGGCTCAGAGACTCTGGGAGCTGCACAATGAGCCCACACCTGAAAGCAGACCTGCCTCCATGCCTGCTTTGACACATGTGTGTTCAGCTCATGCTTCCCAAGGGCGAGCACCTGAGGACGGGACAAAGCCTTGAAGCCCTCCCTGCTGGAAGGAAGGCAAAGCATCACAGGGTAGATCACCCTCCGCAGGGTGCCCAGAGACTCCCAGGAGAAAGCAAGCCGCAGAATCCGCACCCCAGGCCACACCAGCACTGTGCATGTGCTCAGCCAGTGGCGTGTGTGAGGCAACTTCCAAAGTCCCCCGACATCCAGCGCTGGTGATGTCCTCCAGTGTGAGCTGGGGGACAGTGATCAGAGGTGGGAGCAGAGTTACACCTTGCTCTATGTGCCCTTGTACTTTTGGGGTTTGCTTTAGGATCACAGACACATACTTATCAGTCCCCAACCCCACTCTGGGGGACAAGGGCCCAGTAGCAAGTCATCCCTCTGCCTTCAGGGTGTTACACAGCTAAGCCCCCAAAGCCAGGGCCCATCCCCAGACTAGGAATGTGAGGCGGGACTCCGAGGGGACTTCAGCCCGGGCGGACTCAAGAACCGAGGACTTCCTGGCACTGCCACGTATGCTGGCCTTGCTCAATCTCAGAGCTCTCATCTGTGAAGGGGGCAAAGGTGAAAATGCCGTACCAGGGATTCAGAGACAGCCCTTGCGAAGCAGAGTGCCTGGCTGATGTGGACTGAGGAATTCTCTTTATTTCACATGCTTATTTAGTATAAATGATGATGTTTAGTCTAATGTCACTGTGATTAAATTAACTACAAGGCCAATCGCTGAGGGGAGTGCCGACTAACCAGAGCCTGGGGCATGGTGCCCCCTGGTGGACACATTCCGGAGTGTACCTGATAAGTACCAATCAGACCCAATAGAGAAAGACGACCAAATTCGGCTCATTTCTTCCCAGTCGCCCCTAAGTATTTGTGTGTAGCCAGGCATTGTGGTACAGACCTGTAATCCCTGCACTTGGCTGGCTGAGGCAAGAGGAACACCTTGAGCTCAAGGCCAGCTTGAGCTAGGTAGCAAGACCCAGTCTCAAAACAAAAACAAACAAAAAACACTGATACACTCTCACATAACGCGTAATCATCAGAATCGGGGAATTTGACCTTGAGAGGATACTGTTACCTAATGCACACGTCCTTGCACTGCCAGGCCTCCCCATGGCACCTTTCATGACTGTTTCTAGTGCTTGATTCTCTGGGGTCCCATGTGGCACAGGTCTCTAATGTCCTTCACGGCTCAGACCCAGGCTGTGGTGTGGGACATTTCACAGTTTTGCTTCATTTTTCATGACCCTGACATTGTCGGAGCTCAGGCTATGGATTTGGTAAAATGTCTCGGCTGGATTCACATTACACATTTTTGTTAGCTGTTTCACAGGTGTCAGGCTGCGTCCTCAAGACATAACAGCAGGGACACGAGGTATCGGTCTGCCCAGTACTGCTGAGGCTGACACTCACTGCCTTGCCCACGTGCATGGTGAAGCCAAGCCCAAGGCCAGTGAGGGGCTGGCACTTGCCTCTGGTCACTTGAAGGGCATGCTCAGCTCAGAGTCAGGGCAAGTGCTCAGGGTAAATGTGACCAGGTAGGGGACAGCAGTGTTGGCTTCGTGGGGTCATCGGATGGGTCAGGCTGTGTAGAGCTCTTCCTCCCTTCTGCTCTGTTTGTATTAAGATCTTTTATTTCACAAATGATACCTGAGTACATTATCCCAGTTTTTAGAAAGGTTTCAATACTGGGGAGGCTGAGGCAGGACTGCTGTGATTCCAAGGTCATCCTTGGTTACACAGTGAATTCAAGGCCATCCTGGCCTACATAGTAAGACCATGTCTCCAAAAACAAAAGACAAATCAAAATAATGAAATGAAGTTGCAGCAAGACTAAAATTCCCCTTGAAAACTTTCCCTTTCTGAGACCCCGCTCCCTTTTCTAGAAGTCACCACTGTTATTAGTCTGCTGTGAGATTCACTTTTACATCCCCAGGAAAAATACCACGTTGGGTTCTCCCCCCAATAAACCGTCCCTGGACAGATCAACCCTGTGGGGATTTCCCTGGCAGGACCTGGCAGCTGAGCTCACCATCTTTATGGTGTCATCTTGGTCCAGCATGTGGACACGAGGGGCTACTGATGGACATCGAGGCTATCGCCAGCACCTTGCTCCCCTGGGGGAACTCCACCTTCTGCGGATGCTCCCCGAGTTCTCTGAGGAAACTGCCTCCTCTGGAAGCCCGCTTCCCACCCGTGCCAACTCCCTGGGTGGCCGCTGACTGGGAGCAATGGGCTTTTTCTCTCATGGGCTTTTATTCACTAAATCTATGGAAGTTGTTGGACTTAGGATCTCAGCAAGCTATTGGGCTGGGCTTTTACAGTGTTTTGAGGAATCTTAGGGCTCCAAGGCAGAAAGGGTGACAAAGGGTTGCGGAGTGCGTGAGAGTCCAACCCACATCCTAACTCCAACCAGGGCCCTCTGCCTTCCCCTGCTTTCTGTTAAGTGACCTCCTGAAAGGCTCCGCTGTCTCTGAATTGAGTAGCCCCACGTGGTCTGAGCTCTGAGTCGGCACGGAGATCCATTTGGCCTCTTGTCTTCTGAATTCGCTCCTGGTAGTGCAGCTGCCAGTTTCATTCTTGCTGGCGATGTGACTGTACCAGGATCCCGGTTGGCAGACCCCAAAAGGTCTCTGTAGGTGCCACATGGCCAGCACTTCTGGGTGCTCATCTGGACCCTTTGTCCCCTCCGCTGGAGGCTGGGAACCAAGACAGCCTAGCTGTGTCTCCAGCACACACGCTTTCCACCCCTCAGGAAGGGTCTCTGCATAGAACAGGTTCATACTTGGTGGCCTGAGTCAATGCTCCTAAACCTTCCTGTGCATCAGAATTTACTAAATGCCCATTGCTGGGTACCAGTCTCAGATGTCCTCAATGAGGGACAGGAGGCGGGTATATAAATGCATTTTTCAAAGCTTCCCAGGGGATTCTGAGAACAGGTCTGATTCCTGCTCTGCAGACAGTGGGCCAGGTCTTTTCTGCTTGACCAGGCTCTGTCACTTTCCAGGCAAATCTTGAGTCTGGTCCTTAATGAGGCTAGCAAGTCTAGAAAGTCACTTTGTTTTCCCAGTCTTTTTGGGATAGTGAGACTCAGCATTAGTTAGAACCCATAAGAATCTGATCCGGTGTGCCCCAAAATTGAGCCTTCAGTGTCGTAGAGAGCTCTGGAAGCTCCAACCTGCACCTGTGAGAGTTGAACGACTGCAAAGAAGGCCTGGGAACCTGCATTTCCCGAAAGCAACAGACAGTGCTTGCGAGGCCAGCAGGCCTGCTGTCTTGTAGACATCCCACATTCTGGATGTCTGTCTCCTGGGGGTGTTGCTTATCCCTATGTTGTCAAGGGTAATTCTGCCTAGAAAATTCTCTAGGTGAGGCCACTGAGTCCAACTCCTCATACCTCTGAAAGATGAGGGAAACAAGATCAAAAAGTAAAACAACCGGCGCCCAGGCCCTGTCCCATGAGCAGCAGAAATGGCAATGGCCTGGGTCATCTTGGTCCTGCCCTGTGCCCAGCACTCCCAGCCCCATGCATCCAGAGGCTCTTGGTCACCTGAGAGGCCCCAGGTGGCTGCCCTGTCGCAGCCCTCTGCAGTGTCTGAAAAGGCTTCAATCTGTAACCCACCTTAGCCAACAGTGTGCACACTGTGTGTATGTACATGTTCGCATGTTAGGCAGACTACAGTCATGTATGCAAACACCCCAACTTCCATGCTCCCCTGCGGGCTTTGCAAGAAGGCCAGAGAGACAAGCAGGAACAGCGTGTACAAACAGAACCCCACTTTATTAGCAGTTAGTTCGAGATTGTACATTAATGGAGGAAGGTTCCCACTTTTAACACAACCCAAAATGGCTGGTTCAAGAGCTCAACGGGTGAGCAGGCAGCACCCCTCTCCAGCCTTGCCCCGCCACAGGGAAGGAGTCTCGGCCTGCTCCCCTGTGCCCCCCACCCGTGCAGTCAGCCCTCTACTCTCCCCAGGAAGCCACATGAATTTCATGCACAAATTACAAAAGGAGCCCTCTTGCTATAGGAAAAGCTAGCTCAGCCCTAGAAAGCCCTCTCCACCCCGTCGTCCTCCCAAGAGGAGCAGTGGCGGGCTGAGCAGGGAATATCGTAGGATGAAACCCAGCTTCGGTCTCCCCCATTCTCACTGCGGGCGCTGGCTGCACGCAAAGTCCATGCCTGTCTCCCACGGGAGCTAAATGCTGGCCAGCCCTCTGAGCAGTGAGGGTGTGCAGCCCAGAGCCGCCGAAGTGGGGACCCGGCACTGCCAGGAGGAAAGTCTGGGCCCCCCTCCTGACCTCCACTAGAACAGAGCTGCTTCCTGCCTGGATGTTTTCAGACCTCTCTGCTGTAGGCCCCGCCGGCTCATTCTACAGGTGGGCAATCTGAGGCCCTGGGAGAAAGACTGTCATGCAGCCACCAACTGTACCCAGTGGGACAAAACTTCACAGTTCCTGCCTCTGTCCAGTGCTCTTCTCCCGACACCACGGCTTGGGGAGCATTTCCTCATCAAGGCCCTTCTTGCCACAAGCCAGAGGCTTGGCTCTGCTCCAGTGCATGCAGACCAGAGGCTTCCGCGAAGCAGAAACCCCAGGACCACAAAACAGAACGAGAAAGATGAGATGGGTGCTGGGTCCTATACCCCGCAGCCCACGACCAGGGCCAGAGGGCAGCCAGACTCCCCTAAACCGGGAGTCTCGCTCCATCAGACCAGAGCCCGGCTGGGGCCCCTTGTGCATCCCCTCTGGCCCTTCCTCCAGCCTCTCCCAGTCCCCTCCCCTGAGCTCCTGCAGCTCTCAGCTGGCCCCTCTGTCTCCTACAGATGACAGTGGAGGTGCCACTCAGGCAGGAGGAATCTGCCTAATCAGTGTGAATGGCCAAACGACCTTCCAAAATACAGGGATAAAGGAACTGGCCAGGCGACACCAGGAGGAAGCAGATATCTGGAACATGGGACTCCACATGATGGCAGGCCTGGCAATCTCACAGACATCATCATTGGAAAATCAGATGGGCAGAAAGAATTAGCATTCAGAGAGATTTTTAAAACACACTGCAAGATGCAAAGTGTGCACCTTGCTTGACTCCAATTCCAAACCCAGGTGAGTTATTAGGGACAGCCAATGTTGCTGGGAAATCCCTGTTATCTGTCTTAGCCGTGGCTCAGGTGCCACCTCTTAGGGAACATGGGCAGAAGCATCTAAGGGTAAGTGTCAAGATGTCTGCAAATTACTTTTAAACTGGGCCAGAAAAACATACACACAGAGAAAAATACAAATGCAGCAAAATCCTGTAATTTTCAATCTAGACGCCAGGTAGCATTTACAGTCAAGTATCTGGTGAGATGTTTTTGCGATGTTTTGGAACTGCTCTTCCCACCAACATAGCTGCAGAGGCCACCAGTCTCTGCAGGCCCACACAGGAGTTCACCTCACCAGGAAGCACCAGCTGCTCCAACACAGGGCTCAAGAGAGGCTCTGCTTTAGCTCAGACTCATCCTAAGGAACTGAGGCAGCTGTGGTGGCACCCACCCTGGGGCAGAAAAGGGTAGAGGGGACACAGAATGGAGGTGGAGTCATCCATGCAATTTAAACCTTTTTTTCCTCTTTTTTGGCCAAATGCTAACAGGGAACCTGTGGGTGCGGAAGACTGACCGTGCTGCCCTATGTGCGCCAGGTATCTGTGTGGCTGTTAGCTGACAGCCCAGGACAGCAGAACGCCCTCTCCTCATACTCATGCTCCAAGTCCTGGCTGTGGAAAGGGACAGAGCAGCAGTGACCTCACTGACAGAACAGGCAGCAGGTCTGGTCACAAGATCCCCAAAAAAGCCGAGCCCGAGTCCAGGCTCTCTGCTTGGCTCTTGCAGGGTCTCCAGCTTGCCTGTGTACACGAGCCTGGAGAGAGGGAACAGAGCTGCCAGCTTTCCAGGCTGTGCAGGAGGTGGGAGCGGGCTCTAGCCCAGAGGGCAGACCTCAGAGTGCAGGGTCCAAGCCCAGATCACAGCCAACAGTCCCCACAGGCAGGAAGGGAGGGTAAGGGCTTGCACCAGAGCCCTGCTCACTCTGGAAGCTAGGCTCTGGCTGGCAGCTGTCCTCACGAGCAGTGGAGGATAGGAATTGGCCCTGTCCTCAGGCACTTGCCTTCCATCCCTGCTAGACCCTCGGCCAGGACCAGGGGAAACCCGCCCTCGTTACACACTGCAAGTGGGGAACTTGAGAAGAGGGAACCAGTGAGAACACAAGCTGGGGAGGACCCTCCCGATGGGGAAGAACCAGAGGAGCAAACGCACATCTGGGGATGAGAAGGCTCAAAGGCACCTGGCTGGGAAGAGTGGTTTGTCCCTTTGTCCTGGAATGACCACAGCTGTGACTGAGGGAGGCACAGGGACCTAGCACAGAGTAGGGTCCCACAGTGGGCTTAGAGGCAGTGTGGTATTGGAAGAAGAGCACTGGACTCAGAATTGGAGGCCCCGAGTTCAACTCTCAGCTCTGCTGCCCACCAGAGGTGACACTGACCACGTAGGCCCTCTCCCCTCCTCGACCTGCTTTGTACCCCTCAAAGGACCCATCCCACCCAAGATGCGAGAGTCTCTGGAACAAGGCTCTCCAGCAACAACTTCCCGAGCGTCCGGCGGAAGCTGAATTGGCAGTTGAGGGAGGCTGGGAGGCACCCTAGCCTTAGACACTTCACATTGTTAAAGCGGGGCAGGAGCAAAACCCAAGGAGAAACTAGTCAAGAGGTCCCTACAGGGGCCTGGAGACAGCTCTGTGGGTCCCGGGGGCATCCTGCGCCCAGGGCAGCCCCCAACCTAGCACCATGTGAGGAGGGAGAGGGCCAGGCCAGCTGCACCAGTGCGTCTGCCCTAGCCCTAGCTACTTCCTGTGGCCCCAATCCCCCAGGACCACGGGCCTCAAAGAGCCAGACTGCCTGGAGAGAGCTGGTCTTCTTGGTATGTGTCACTGCCTGTTTCCCTGGGGTGGCCCCAGACCGCTGTGGCACTTGTGAGAGGGAACAGAGATCTCTCCCTCGACCCCACACTGTCTGCGTGGGGTCTGGATACATTCTGACACACCCTCCTTCCCTCAGAGCTCATTCTCTAGCACTAAGATATGACACCCTTGATACTGGGGCTTACCAACATTGTATAAGACTGAATTAAAAACAAACCCAACCAAAAAATATAATATATATATATACACATTTTATATATATATATATATATATATGTAACACAGTGCGACCCCAGCACCCAGGGTTTGAACTCTGGCACCAAGAAAAAAAACAAAATATTAAAATACTTTAGCTTCTTAGTATTTGAGAGGTTAGGGGGTCTCTGGGAACCCTCGGCCACAGGTCATGTGGGCAGAGCAGCAGGCCGCAGTCTCCACAGCTCCACCACGTTTTCTGGCCGAGGCGGTGGGTGGGAACGATGTATGTACATGGGATGTGTGTACTGCAGACTCCTGACCCGCCTCCGCCCTTACCACAGGAAACACCACACACGTCACACCCCAGGAGAAGACTGGGTGAGATCAAGACCTGAGTCTCTGGACCCAAATGGCATGGCAGTGCCCCTGGCCTTCGAAGAGGCCTTGCGGACTGGGTAGGAACTGTAGGAACCAGAGATTCTTTCCCAAAAGGGAAGGTGAGATGGGAAGGTATTAAGCAAAACATGGAGGTGCGGCATGAATCTCTTAAGATGGCCACCCTCATCCACCTAAGGACCACCTCTGGCACCCAGTCCCCTGTGAAGGCCCCGGCTCAAAACACTCAGGGGAAATGTCTAGTCTTTCTCCCTGGTTTGGCAAAAGACCCAGCTGGGCTCTTCTCCCTTACTGTCTGGAGGACAAGGAAAATATGGCAGCTAATACTGAGGGGACGCCCTGCTGGAGCAGGGGAAGGGGATGAAGAACAGGGTGTGGTTGGTAGAACACAGTGAAGGGCAGGAAGACAGTCTTGTGGACTCTCTCCCACCAAGAAGTGGCCTTCCACCAACAGGAAGTGGCCTTCTACCAATAGGAAGTAGCCTTCCACCAACAGGAAGTGGCCTCCCCAGGGAGGCTGTGAGCGGAATGGACCTCTGTGCTGGGGAGATCCGGTAGGCCACAGACCCAGCAGTGGAGGCTCTGAGGCGCTTGTGGACCTGCCTCGCTTCTCCTGGCCCTGCACGGGCCTCAGCAGAGTATTGCTCATACGTGCCTGGCCAGCCCGGCCCGCTCCTTCTCCGCAGGTCAGTCTGGCTCAGCATACAGCGGGACATCCCTGCTGTCACAAGTGTTCAGTCTGGCAGTGATGGCCGTGGCTACCTGGTGTTCTGAAGGTCCTCCCGCAGCCAGGTGGGCAATGTCTGGCCCATCTTGTACAGCAACTTGGAAAGCTCGACGTTGTGGTCCCGGTAGTAGTCCTTCAGGAAAGCTCGGGACTACAACAGGAAGGCAGGCCAGGTCAGGGGACAGGAGGCGCCAGGCACTACTCTCTCTGACACGGCTACCCTGCTGCTGGCACCAACACTATATACCTCTTACTTATGCACAATCCTCTTCGAAAGAGTAGCCTCCAAAGAAAACTCCTAGACAGGCAAAGCACCAAAATGCAGCTCACAAGGTCAAAACTTTGGTGACACAAGCTGGGGATTTAGCTCAGCAGGGCAAGCACCTGTCAGCCAAGTGCTAGATCATGAGTTCGATCCCTGGCACAAAAAAAAAAAAAAAAAACCCTCTGGTGACAGAAAGGCCATTCAGGAGTATGTATATAGTCACAGCACTCAGGAGCTGAGGCAAAAGGATCACCATGAGTTTGAATCCAGCCTGGGCTACCCAGACAGTTCATGTCAGCCTGAACTACAAAGTGAGACCCTGTCTCAAAAAAAAAAAAAAAAAAAAAAAAAAAAAACAGAAAAAAGAAAAGGGAAAGGAAAAGCAAAAAACATCACAAAAAACCGAAACAAATCCAGAGGCAAGCAGGTCAGGAAACATCACCAGGTGCCATGTGACCTGCCCTGCCTGCTTTAGAGGTGCTGTTCTCTCCCAGGAGGACTGCCTAAGCTTCCATGCCTCAGATCCGAATCCTGACCCACAGACCTCGCCTCTCCCGGGAAGCCTCCTCTGCAGCTCCAGCTCCTGAGGCTGCCCCTGTGCTGAGTGTCTCGACTCTTCCGTGCCCCTCGCTGCACACGCTCACCTGAACGGCAGCTCACTGCACCCCTGTGCGTGCCGCCCCCACACAGGCCCTCCCAGGACCCAGCAGCCACCACTTACATCCAGGTCCATTTCTGGGTATTTCCGGCCCTTGCTTTTGCCCAGACACTTGGTTTTTCCTCCTTCGAGCAGCTGGCACCAAAATCCTTTCTTTGGATCAAACCTGTGGTGGTGGAGAAACCTGCGATGAGAGCCAGCCCAGCCCTGCTCCCTCCATGAGGGTGACATCCAGGAACGCAGAGTCAGGACTCGCCTCCGGCCACACTGACTGTGGGACTGATGTGCCCGGCCCCGGGGACTACACTGAACTCACTTGTCCTTCCTGCCTGCAGAGGGCAGCTCCTGCAGCGCCTTCCCAAGCTGAGCTACCCCGTTTCTCCAGCAGCCCTAACACGGACACTTGCTGGTCCTGTATCATCCGAAAACTGTGTCTCAATTTCTACCTCAGCGGTGAGCTGCATTTTCTTTTAATCCCCAAAGCCTTCTTTATTCCTCCCAATTTCAAGTGACAACAGGGTGCAGGAAAAAAAAGACACAGTGGGGTTCTTTTGCTTTTTAACGAATTGTATCCTTAACAAGAAATGCAAGGGTATTTGCGTGTGCACTGTGGAGTTTTGTATTTTGGAGTAAACTTCAGAAAGGTCAGAGCAGGTGCCTTCTGTGCACCACAGCACACTGCCTTCAAGGGCATTTCTGGGACATGAGCTTGGCAGCAGTCACCGCGAGAAGACGACCCTGGCATCAGAACTCGGCCCCAGACAGGGCACTACTGAGCAACAAACATGGGGCACACACAATCCCCTCAGGCGGGTGAGGGAGACAGGGCTCTCTGCAAGAGCCCAGGGCAGTCACGGCTGACAGAGATGAGGACAGCAACTAGCACTTGTACCAGCCAAGCACTGTGCCAGGAGCTCCACACACATCCTGTCGCCCAATTCGGTGAGCCCAGGAGGCGGGGGTTATTCTCGCCACCCCTCCGCTACACAGGAGCAAAGTGAGGCCCCAACAGCTCAGGGCCTCATTAGCCGTCAGGGCCACGCGACAGATCTGGGGTTGGACCGGGCATCAGTGACCTCACAGCCTGTGCCCACCACAGTTCCTGCTTCCTGCCTCAAGGGGATGGGGCGCGTCTTCACCTTCCACCCTTCTGCCCTCCCTTCTCCACCTTCCCTTCCGGCACTGTGAGGAAACAACAGGCCTCCTGCGGGCTTCGTAGGGGAGGAGGAAGAGGACGACTCGAGTCCTCTTCTCTTGGGACCCTTCCTCCTGCCGAGTGTACCCCTGTCTAGGGCACAGTGTGGAAGGGTGGGCCCTCCTGTCCTACCCCTGGAGCCCAGGCTGGCACTGGCCCTCCATGGGACAGCATCTGCTGTGCCCCTGCACCAGCTCCGAGGGAGTGGGCTTACTGCCATCAACAAAATACGACTAGTTTCCTTCTCCTCAGATTATATTTTCAGTCAAAATCCAACACTAGAAAACCCTCTGGGAATGGAGGCTGCTCTGTGCTGGGCTGACTCACATAAAACACTAAAAATGTGCAGCCCGGGCTAAACTGAACTGAAGGGAACACCCCAGGCTGCTCACGCTGATTAGGGAGCAGATTCCACTCCCCGTGCCTCCCCGCCGTGCACACCTCTTTTGCAACACAAGGCTTGAACCTGAGGCCTTGGCACTGAACAATAGCCTTAGTCCACTTTCCCCCGACCCTCCCTTCCCTCCTCTCTCTGTCTCTGTCTCTGTCTCTCTCTCTCTCACATGAGATAATGTCTCACTAGGTCAGTAAGTTGCCCGAGCTGGGCTCAAACCTGTGATCTCCCCGCCTCATCTTCTCCGACTGCTGGGACTCCAGGAATGCACCACTGTTCCAGGCTACTTTACTAACATGACTGAAGTCAAATTAATACAGTGGTACCTCTGTTCAAGAACTCAATTCTCTCCATGCTGCTGGTCACAAACTAAACTGAGAACCAAATCAAATTTCCCCTAAGGTCCATATTGAACCTAAGCACTGAATTTGATTCTGTTCTTACCCAACTTAGTTTGTGACCCGAATCATGAAACAAATCAAGTCTGTGAACTGAGGTCCCGCTGTATTACCTTTACTACTAAACAGCCATGAGGGAAGTGCTGCCTCTAATTAACTATGCTACTCCCATAGTTGGTCAAGCCTTTGGTTTCATGGCACAGATGCCTGATCAGGTAATCACCCCGCTGAAGGCCAATGCGATACTCACGCCAAGGTTTTGTGGTAGTCAATGGTGTTAGTCACCCCGAGGAATTTCTGCACTGTGTCCATCACTTTGGCAGGTTCTGTTCGCAGCAGTTTGCCATCCAAGACCAGAATCTGGAAAGAAGAAAAGGAGGTTACCTGGACTGGCTTTCCTCCTGGAGGCAGGCAGGGTCAGCAGCCAGAGCAGCAGGAAGGGGCCTGGCACCATATGGTGTTTTCCAGGGTCAGCTTCCTACTCTACCTGACCGGCAGGGATCTGTGCCCGACACTCCATGCTGCGGTCTAGTTCCCTGAGCTCTGCCAGGTCTGTCTGTCCCGTCAGCCCTCAGCACCCCTGCTGCACCCTCTCTATGCTTCCAGCCTGTACCCCACACCTGCTCCAGACTTGAAAGAGTTTCTCCCAAGACCTCCAGGGATCTGCCCCTGCCCCTGTTCTCCCATCCCCACACCTGAGTCTTCCTGCGCTGGCTGCGCACCCAGGGCTTCTGCGCCCCTCGGGTCCCTCCTGGGGCCTGGCAGGCCTACCTGGTTGGCGTGGAAGGCGCTGAGCCATCGCTCAATGTGGGTGGCGTACCAGCCGGGGACCAGGCAGCGGCTCTGCAGGGCACGCAGCTTGGAGGACGCATCTGGGCTGGCTGTGATCACCTCGTGGAAGGTGTACTTCAGGGCCACGGGGTCATCATGGGCGCGCTGGTGCTGGGGGGAGGGAAGAGGTGGGCATGGCACACAGAGTACAAAGGAGAGGCCACTTGCTGTGGGACCACAGCCTATGAAGTGCAGGAGACCCTGGACCAGAGGCTGGCCCTGTCCTCCAGTCCGGCTCCGGCCCTCATTGCCATCAGGTCTCAGGAAGTCACTGGGCCCGCAGCTCTAAGGTCCCCATCTCCGCAGGATGGGCATCGGACTGGACATGGGTTTCCCTGTACTGGTCATCACACACCATCTCTGAGGTTCCTGCCTGACCCACAGACCAATATGTGCTGATGTCAACCTTGTTTCTTCCATGTATCAATTCTTGTTGAGAAAATTCAACTCCCTAAATAGAAAACTACAATCAGTGACCACAGAGAAGGCAACCATCAGTAAATACAATAAAAATAAAAATAAAAATAAAGAATATTCCCAAACACCACCAAACATCTGCCCGGGGCCCCAACCCCAAAACTTGCACTCTCTGTTAGAAACAGGGCTTGGCTGTCTTAGAAATGACATAGGAGTCACTTGCCCCAAACTGAGCATTCTCTTTTATGGAAATCAGACAGACTAGAGAACACTGTAAAGGGAGAAAGCCAAGTCCAAATCACCAAAAGTAATGCTGTGGGCCATTAGTATCTGCAAGACTATCAAAGACAGCAGTGCACAGCCATAAACCCGCTCTGGGTGGCTGAGGCTGAAATAGGAGGATCACACGTTCAAGCCCAGCCTGGGAAATTTAGTGGCAAAGAAAAAAAATGTAATTTAATTTAAAAGCCACTGTGGATGTAGTGCAGTGTGAAGGCCCTCGGTTTGATCCCTGTGCACGGGGAAAAAAAATCATCCAGGGCCTGGGGACCCGGCCATGAGGTACGTGCTGCCCTGCCCAAGCCGACCCCTGGGCCCCACTGAGGTCAACAGAGCAAAGGATAGGGGGTCTCCTCCGATCTCCCTCCCAAGGCAGGCAGTTGCCATCCGCTCCTTTCAGCTCCCTCTCGGGTTTCCTGGTAGGAATGGGTCTCCTTTCTCCTCATCTCCCTAACTTGCCTTGAGCATGGACAGGAGAAAAAACAGGCCTTCGAACCAGAAGACCTGGATCCAAAAGCCCACACCACATGAAACTTGCTGAGTCCCGAGTCTCTCACAGGTGCTAAGGGGCACACACACACACCCTACCTTCTAGGACACTGCTGTGAATGAAGCTCCAGGGAGGGTCCAAAGTTGATCCCTGCCTTTGGTTCAGAGCAGGGGGCTGCCCTGACTGCTGCTTGAAGCCCTTTTCTGTCTCCCACAAAAGCAGTAGGTGGGCGCATGGCAGAGAAGCAGCCAGCAGTGTTCTGCATATCCCTACAGACAAAGCCCATGGGAGGAATGGACTCTAGGATGTGAACCAAAGTCCTGGGAAAGAGGGCTTCCCCCTCAGACTTGGGAGGACAAGGATCCCTAGGGACAGGAGCAAGGAGCACTACAGTTGCTGGCCCTGCAGGGGATACTGAGAGGCCCCAAGGGAGCAGCCACCAAAGTATCCAAGGACAGCGTCTCAAAGGGCGGCAGTGAGCTACAGAAAGTGGCCTGGCTAGAAGAGGTCTTTCCAGCCGAAACAGTCAACACTGTCCCACTGAGCAGGCACTAGGGCCCCAGTGTTCCTCAATACCAAGAGCAGGCCTGGCCCACTGGCATGCCAAGGTGGTCAGGATCCTGGCCTTAGGCACCAGGGCCACTTATGAATCAAAGCACATGGCAGTGCAGCCTAAGAGGACTGGCAGATAGGAGAGGGACTCAGGCCCAGGCTCCTAAATAGGTTGCCAGTGTCCCTGTGAGTACAGTGGGCTATACTCAGAAGAAATTAAATCAGGCCAGGTGCAGTGGTGCACACCTGTAATCCCAGCACCCAGGAGGCTGAGGCAGGAGGATCACTGCAAATTCAAGATCAGCCTGGGCTACATAGTGAGTTGAAGGTCAGCCTGAACTATACAGCAAGACCCTGTCTCAAAAGAAAACCAAAACAACAAAACACAGAAAAAAAAAAAAAAAAAAAAGAAGAAAAAAAAAGAGAAAGAAAGAATGAACAATTAAATCTGGTCACAGAAACAGAAGAAGGTTCCGGCTCTCATCTACCTCAGCAGGCATGAGGATCCAGCCCTTGCCAGGCATCGGTGCCCCCACTCAGACCAGTTCCCATGTCTGCCCACACCATGGCCCGAGGAGAAGCTACAGTCAGCATGTGCCCCCACACCGAAGACAAGCCGCCCCAAGACCTCCCAGCCTCCACCCCTTGTGGGGTCAGGATTCTGGGCCAGAGCCCACCCGAAGCTAGAGTTAAGCAGCACATGGTGGCTGGGGTTCTGCACCCATGCCAGGTGCGGGGTGCCAGGGAGGCACCTGGCACCTCATTCCGGGTACCCACTCAAGGTCAGCACGAGCAGGTACTTCTTGGCACAGCCGGGTGAGTGAGCGTCAGAGAGAAATAGCAGCCCGCACTAGGGCCCTCAACCCACCCTGCTCACCTGGTACCAGGAATAGGCCCGGTCCGCCGGGTTGATGAGGATGGTGAGGATCTTGGCCTTGGGTAACAGGGCAGCTGCCCGGCGGGGCGCCACTTCAGAATCGAAGTAGTTAGCGCTCTTCTCAAAGTAGAAGTCAGAGGTGGTGTTGGAAGGGATAGGGAAGAACTCCATGTACCTGCGAGAGGCCGAAGGGGACTCTCAGGCGAGGCCTGGGAAGAAGGGGCCCGTGGATGCCCTGTGAGTGGCTGTACTTCCTCAGAAAGTGGCAGGGCGGGCTGCTCCGGCCAAACCAGATCTCACCTCCAGCAGCACTTGTGGGGACGGCCATGGGCCGACTCCCCTTTCTGAATTTGTTCCTTCCCAGTGGAGGCTGTGGGGTCGGGATGATCTGAGCCTCGAGGTGAGATGCGGGTTGGGGGCCATGAAGAAGGGTGGGAGTGCTCCAGCCTAAGCTCAGGTCCCACCCGGTCACCCTCCACGCAGGCCTAACTCTGCCGCTAGGGGGCGCGTCCGGGCTCAGCAGCTCTCTGACCCAGCAGGGCCGGCAGTGGGAAGCACAGGGTAGGCTGGCCTTCCTCCCCGCAGCAGTGCTGTGGACCTGGAGACAGAGGCGTGCCCGGGCCCTGGCCTACTACGGGTGAGACGACAGCTCTCCCAGCCAGCGTTTCCTATCCTGCCCGAGTGACGACCTTCTAACCTAAGGACCATTCTGAAAATGAACCGAGCTGTACAGACCCTCCTGGGGGCCGCGACTCATGGAAAGCCAGGATAACAACTTGGAGGACTCGTGGGAAGCAGATCGGACCCATGAAACTGTGCCTCTCCACAGTGGTCCTGAGGACCCTAACACAGTCACCAGGGCCTTGAGAAGTTCCCATGCCTCCCTACTAAGTCAGAATCTTGGGGTTGGGGCCAAGGAATTGTCCTCTCTCCTTTTTCTGAAATTTTTCTGTTTGTAATACCTAATTTGAGAAAGCTCAAAAGGCAAAAGTTTTGCTTCCTATGACTCTGTAGGAAAGCCATTAGGCAGCAAAGCTCAACTTCCTTATCTTATCTGCTGTAAATAAATATTCACATACTTTGCTGCACACCTGCTAACATACTACAGGTGGGTGCTGCGCCGCCCTGGGCTCTGCTGAAGACGTTAAGCACGTGGCTCTGCACTATATTAACTTTCCAAAGCCGGAACACACTGGCTTCCAATATCTCTGGCCACAAGAGGTTTTGGGTAAGGGACAAGACATGTCAGAGATAATGGAAAATGGACAGATATTTGTATGGATGGACAGATATACAGGCAAGATAGACATATGGGTAGAGAAATGATAGCTAAATAAGGGAAATGCACACAGAAAATATTTTAAAAATAGCCCATAATTCTGCCTAGATCATGTTAATGTAACCATAATAAATAAGGCTAACACATAAGTTTTACTTTTTCTGCCAAAGTTTTAAAAAGTAATAGGAGGGTGAGCCAAGTGAAAACTGGAGGTAAAGCACATGCTGCCTCACTAAAAATGACAACTGTAGAAGGTTCTGGTGAGAAGCCACACCTGGAACCGCTTGCCCAGGTGAGCCTGAAGGCTGCCCAGCACGTCAGAACAGAGTACACAGGAACGCCTGGTCTCCACGGGGAGCCACACACAGTGACGCTGAGATGTCAGCCCTGCTCTGTCCTCGGCAGACCTTGGGACCTCGGGAACACTCCTCCCCTGTGACCGGGGCAGTAATGCAAAGGGGCAGAGGGCTTCCTCATTGAGTGTCCTGTCTGTGACAACATCCTCCCACCATGATTCAAGGGTCACTGCTCTCCGTCCCTGTTTACAGGAACTTTAGCTGTGTGTGAACAAGCACCAGCTGCTTCCTGCTGTGTCCACAGTCACCTCCCCATGTAGCTCCAGAGTAGCCTTCCTGTCCTGCTGTGGCCAGAGGCCCACTCACCAGTCAATGCCTTTGTGATAGTTGTGGCCGTTAAAAAACTGGATCTCCTCAAAGGTCTCCGAGCTGGGGTAGTTGCTGCTTAGGTCCGGATGCATTCCCAGGAATAAATAGAGGGCTGTGGTGCCTAGAGGAGGAGAGGCACTGAGGATCATACCCCACCCCTGGACAAAAAGATGGAGTTTGGGTTTTAGGCCCGGCTCTCTAGTGTTCACTGGGAGGTCCTGGGAAAGTCTTTTCCCTTCTCTGGTCTTAGCTTCCTCATTTGTACAGTAAAGAAACTGTGCTAAATCCAGGATGATAAGTATAGGGTTTGTCTGTGGATACTACAGCTCCTGTACCCCTTGCAGACATTACCAATCCACTACATTATTCTCCACCAATACACAGACATGATCTCAGAATCCTCCTCATCACTGCACGCTGACAATCATCTCAAATTGACTATGGTCTCTGCAGAATCTCAGAGCTAGAGGTTTCTCCTGGTCCTTTCCAGCTCTAGGCCTCTGTACACTCCGGTACTTGTGAGCAGCCCAGGAAAAAGGGGCTCTAACCTTCTCCCTGTTAATGTAAAACTACTGTAGAGCCAAACTTGCTGGCTCCATTGTCTTCTCTCTGTCTCCCCCAGTCCTCAGGGAGATCTTTCATTTACCGCCTGTGGTGTGACTCTGCGGTTTATATGCTACAATAAGAATATCCAGAAGAGAAAAAGATGCAGAATTTGGTGAAAGAGTATCAGCTTTGGGGTCACAGAAAACAAGTCTCAAGACCTAGAACTGGCATTTCTTAGCTAAATGTGCTATGGGAAGTCATTTCACTTCTCTGAGCCTTGAGTTGCTTGTCTGTAAAATGGAGTAGCCATTTGTGCCACACAGTGGCATGTGGATGGCAAGTACTAACAATCACACCACTGCTTCTCCATCGTGCACCTCTGGCAGGCATTATAATGGATTCCAGTCCACTCTGCATTGAACCAGCTTTGCCTAGGACAGCTCGAACCTGCAGAGCAGCTGATTTGGGCTTCTTTGTCTGCCTATACTCAGAGACCCCCAGGAGGACACAGAGAAAGCTCCTTCAGGCTGTGGTTAGACAAACACCAGAATCCCACGCTCAGCCTCCACTCTCTTCACACTCCATATAGACAGGCAACTCCTCTTCACCCTCGCTTCTTCACCCTCGCTCTGCTCCCACTGCCAGGAGGAGGAATCCGGAGTGGGACCACAGCTGGGTGGTCCCCATTATCCCACAGAAGAGACGGGGGAGTAAGGGGGGTCAAGGCTGGAGAGACCTGCCTGTTTTCTGAGGGCCAATGATGAGAAGCTTTGGGAAGCGGTCACATGTCTTCTCCTTGGACCAGATGTCTTTGTGGCGTTTGTCCTCACAGGGGTCCTAAAACCAATAGTGCAAGGAACGTGAGGGAGGCCCAAGAACTCAACGAATGCACTCTACTGCACGTGGACATTGAGCTCTTGCAGCCCTGACTGCCAGACAAAATACTTCATGTGAATTTGCCACCTCCCACCCTCCAGACACCGAGCGTGACAGGCAGGGACCCTTCCTGGTGAGTCTCAGGGCCCCAGCAAACCCTAGCAAAATGCCTAGCTGCGTGCTTGGCACATATTAGGAACTCACAAGCCCTTGTTAAACTGAACTGGACAAATAGTGTCTGGACCAAAGGTCAGAAAACTTTTCCTACAAACTTGGGTGAACGTTCAGTAAACATTGCAGCCTTTAGATTCTGCTGAGTTTCGGCCGCTTCCAGGAATATGCATGGCTACGTGCCCATAAAACTTTCTTTACACAAACAGACCACAGGCTGAATTTGGCCCATGAGTCATGGCTTGTGGACCCTTGGTCTTAACTATGAGACACCACCAGCTCTGGCTCCTGTTTCCAATTTTTAACGGCTCCCAGAAGTAGACTTTCCTGAGAACTGTCTCCCTAAACCCTCCTGACAGGTTCCGCCCAGGGCTGAGAACCTGCTGCACTTAAAGAGGCCTAAGATATGACCTACGAGACCATCACAGCTTTTCTAATGTCTTTTTATTTTGTTTTGCTTTTGAGACAAGGTCTAACTAGGTAGCTCAAAAGGCTCTATATTCATAATTACTCCTGCCTCAGCCTCCCCAGTGCAGGATTCCATGTTTTTCCAAGGGTGCATGACAGTGTGCGTGCATGCAGGCCTGTGTGGGGAGGTGTGTGACGGCACATGACGTATGAAGGTAAAGCGCATGCCCGAGAGTGGAGGGCATTGTGCCCTTGCAGCAACGTGTGACCTGCCCTGTCCCTACCTGCCAGAGGGGGTCCTTCTCTTCAGAGAAGATCTGGAAGTACTTCTGGGCCAGCTGCACGGGCGGCAGTGTCTGCAGCCGCAGGTTGGTCCAGGAGTACAGGAACCGCACCAGGTGCTTGAAAGTATACAGGCCCAGCCGGTCATTCCCGTAGTTGGATAGGTGTGTCATAAAGATGCTGATCTGCTCCGGGGAGGGGAAGAGGCAGGCAGCAGTTGGGTTAGAGTCTGAGCTCTTCAACCCCACCTTGGACCCTGGTAGCTCTGTCTCCGTTTGCAGGGCTGTCCAGTGACCAGTGCCACACACACTGGCATCATCACAAACTTGCTACGTGACCATGGCCTGAGTGCAATCAGGATGACCCAGCTATAATGGACCCCAAATATTACAACCCCACGGTGAGAGGCAGGTTGATGCAGGAGCTATTTGTGTTTTGTTTTATGCATCTGGAGGTTGGAGGGAAGGAAAGGCCTACTGAGCCCATAAAGCTGAACAATAACAACCACTTGACATTTACTTAATACTATTAAAGTATGGATAATTGCTTCCATTTACAGATAAGGAGAGGGCCAGACAGCTCAAGCAGAGTCTTGTGTGTGTGTGCTGAGTATGGCTGTACACATACACACACATACACAAAGAATGCAAAGAGAACATGCACAAAACAAAGAACAAGAAAGCTCTGACTCTTTAGTCCAGATCTCATGGCAGAGGGACAGCTCCAGTACTGGGCAGCAGGTCGCTTGACTCCCAGAACCCCCCATCAGTATCCCTCCTGGGGCTGGGTCACCAGCAGCACTCTTCAAGCCAGCTGCAGGCTACGGAGAACTCACGGGATTGAGGAGCACTGTGAGGAACAGCTCGCCCCCATTGATAATCTTGTCCAGCTCGCTGGAGCCACCAGGGTACTCGTTGTAGAAGATAGTGTGTGTGAAGAGGCCACACGTCTGCCTTGGGAGGACCTGGGAGATGGGGAGAGCGGCTGTCACTTCTCCAGGAGTAGACTGCGATAAGCAGTCCCTCAGGAGAAGGGCCAGGGCATTTCCTCCGAAAGGCTCTCTTTGGGTGTCCTCACAGCCCCTACCAGCATCTCAGCAGCCTGCAACATCTGCCCTATCCCAGGGTATCACAGGATCTTGCTGTTTAATACTACACAACTCTTCTCTGTACAACATAATCAGGCCCCAAGGAAACGTGGTGGAACTGTTTCTGGAAACTTGGATCATTTGCAGCAAAGGTCCTTGGCCTCCTAAAGCAGCTGTGCAAACCCCTGACATGAGAGCCTTGCCTGGGGGCCCTCGTGGTCAGGCACTAGCTTAGCTGTTTACTGTCCATCTCCCCACAGGAAGATGCACAAGCACAGGCCTGCCTTGTTAGGACCTCTTTCCAGAGTTCACGTGAGTCTCTGGTATGGAGGAGTGGTGGGTGGCTGGGTGGCTAGATGGAGAGATAAATATACAAACCCTACACACAGCTACCCCACTGTTACGGCTTTAAATTACATGTCCACTCAAAACCTTATGCATTCATAGGTGAGGCGGCTTTTGGGAGTGACTAGATTACAGGTGTGTGAAGCTGGGTCAGTTTACTGGTTGGTTTGGCATAGTTCTGGTTGTGGGTGAGGCCTTACTAAAGACAGAAGACCCACACTAATGTGGATGGCACCAACGAACGGGCTAGTAGCCTGGATGGCATAAACAGGGAAAGGAGGAAGGCTCACTGCTGCTTCTCTGCCATGCCATCCTGCCTTCAAGCCAGGTGACGATGGACTGAAACCTCTATAAACTGTGAGTTGAAATAAACCTTTCCAGACTAGGGATTTAGCTCAGCAGCATAAGCGCCGCCTTGCAAGCATGCAGTCATTGAGTTTGAGCCCCAGTACCAAAAAAAGAAAAAAGAAAGAAAGAAACCTTCCTCCTGGGTATTTTGTGCCAGCAACAAGAAGGTGACTTCATATTCACCCACAGTGACTGACGACAACTTATACTTTCGGGACAAAAACCTTTCACTTTGACTCCCCTCCCTCTTCCACACCTGACACCCAATTGGTCAGCAGGTCCTCCTGGCTCTAACTTCTAGTAAGTGCAGGATATGACTATGTTCCAACTATGCATGGTGCTCGAAGCTACCACATCTCTTCTCTGGAAGACTCCAATGGCCTCCAGATCTGAATCCTAAACCTACACCCTGCTCAGCCAATAGGAAGAATGATGAAAATCCTTTTAAGATACGAGTCAGGGGCTGAGGATCCAGCTCAGTGGCATAAGGCCTGCCTAGCAAGCGCAAGGTCCTAAGCAGGATTCCCGGTACCAAACATAAATAAATAAAGACATGAGTCAGGTCATGCTCCATTCAAAACCTCCCCATCTCTGCCTAAAAGCTGGAGTCCACAGTGGTCAGCCTTCCATGGTCCTTCCATCTGGCCCATCACCCCTCCCGCATCCTCTCCTACCTGTCCCTTACTGTCCCCTCCAATCACACGGGCTCCTTCTTGTTTCTCAGACACACCCAGCAGAGCCTGCCTCTAGGCCTTTGCACGTTTATCCGCCCTGACTGCCCTTCTACAGAGAGCAGCACGGCTAATCCCAGGAAGGCCCTCTCCACTCCCCCCCTTCCCTGCTTCCTTCTCTCAGAACAGTAAACACCATGTGACTATGACCCACTTTCCCCATTTTTTTTCTTTGATACCAGGGATTGAACTCACAACCCTGCGCTAGCCATGCAGGCGCTTACACCACTGAGCTAAATCCTAAACCCTTTCCCCATTCTTAAGTCTGGGCTTTGTCAGTCTCCCAACACTTGAATATTAGGTCTCCAAGGCCAAGAACTTTCCTTAATTTTGTGCCCTTCTCCATGTCCAGTGCCTAAAAAGGGACAGAAGCTCAAGGGAAGTTCTTAGATGAGCAGGGGAATCTAACAGAGACCTGCCTTATGTCTTCATCAGAGCCCCCTTTGAAGAATGTTGCCCCCTACTCCTCCTGTCGCGAAGCTAGGGAGAAACTCACGGACAGGCCAGCCTGGCAGCCTGCCTTCCCCAGGTCAGAGCCTCGGAGGGGGAAGTGGCAGAGGAAGCTGCTCCGCCCCCAGCCCACCCTAAGGACAGCACCTGCCCGGCATCCCCGCCCGGTCCTCAAGTCACTTGCCATGATGCCGTTGTGGATGAAGCCTCGGCGGTAGCGGGCCGGCTTCAGGTGTGGGTACTCCTCCGTGCTGGTCACACGGATGCTCCACACCTGCTTCCATGCCTCGTACAGCTGCACGTGCACAGGGTACACACCCGAGTGGTGGGGTGCCACAGCATACCCCATGTCCGTGGGGATACCGTGCTCCTGGGGAAGAGGACAGCCAAGGTAAGCATAGCATCCTTCCCCCTGGTTTACAGAACACCAGAGAAAAGTCAGTTGGCCCAAGCCCTCATGGTGCAGATGGGCAAGCTGAGGTCCAAAATCTTAGACTGAGTGGCTGGAGGGATGGGACTGGAACCCAGGAGTCCTAACTCTCTGTCCAGTGTCCCCTCTCCAACACCACCCCCTCCCACCGAGCCCGTAACTTCTCACTTTCTGGAGCCTCCCAGGCCAGCCTGCAGGTGACAGCCTGTGCCCAGGAAACACGAAGCTCCTAAGTCTAGTGTGACTACCTGGGCCTCAGCCGCATGTCTACAACGGGGCTATCGCCTGGAGACTTCCAGGAGATGGACTACCAACACAGCTCAGCCCGAGCCCCTACCAGGCTGAACTGCAAAAGCAGCATGAGGCCAGCAGCCTGGACCCCAGCCCGTCCCCTGGCCCGCCCAGCTCTGTCCTGTAGGGAATCTTACTCACGACAGCGAACTTCTTGTTCAGGGCCATCTGCTCAGCCAGCACCGACTGATTGTGGAAAAGGTGGGGCTGCATGTGGCTCCACATGTGGGGGAACCACCAGAACTCCTTCACATATGACAGCAACAGGTCGTCCCCTGCGTCTTCCGCATCCGTACCTGCGGCCCACACAGACAGCTCAGCCTGACTAGGGATGCCCGCACCCCACTTGGCCTGGAGACGGAGCACACAGCCAGAGCCTACCCAGGGGCTACATGGACAGAAGCAAGAGCCCAGTCCAGATTCTAGGTCCCCTCTAGAATGACCCCTTGAATCCATAAGTGACCGTGGCCAAGACACTATTCTCTCTGGGTCCTTGCTTGGGGTGCACACGAATCTCAGGAGTTTCCTCTACTCCTCTCACAGCTGCTAGGATCCTCGTCCAGGATCCACACTAGCTCACTGTCTTTTGCCTCCTGCCTGCAGAAGCTCTTTGTGTTTGCACAGGATGCTTAATCTCCATCTCACGTGTGCTACTATAACCACCCCAGGTTACATGCAACAGGCCAAGGATGTGGCAGTGATGCAGAGAGACGACCAGCATCGCTCCTATTTGGCTTTGGGGCTCCTGCACATTTTCCCCTCCACCCTGACTGCCGGTTTTCCCTAAAGTTCAAGAGAGGCTGCCCTCACGGTGGCCCAAGCAGCAGGCAGTCTGCAGGAACAGTCACCGCGGATGACTGGTTTGCAGTCCTGCTTGCCTGGCCCACAAGGGCCATGGAAGGGATGGAGAGAGGAGGAAGAAGCACGAGCCAGGTGATCTGCAGCTTGGCCTCTACCCTGTGACCCTAAGCAAACCCAGGACACTTACTGTCCCGGGGCAGATGCAGTGACAGCGAGTTTTCACTTCCTATGCTACGTAGTTCAGTGACACTCTTAAAGTCAACAGGAGTCTCTTAGAAGCAGGAAAAATAATGTTAAATAGTGAGAGTGAGGAGGATGCAACAGCAGATGGCCATCTAAGACTGAAAGGAAGGGGAAGTGTCACTGTTGCCCCAAACCAGCTCCCCCAGGGGCTGTGACTGCTCTTGATGGCTCCTGGCTTGGGAGGACAGCGGGGTCAGTATTCCCAGTGTGGGCTGGCAAGCTGCCCGCTGCCCTCACAGCACAGCACCTGAGGGTGGAGGTATGAAGCAGGCCTGGCAGGTGACGGCGAGCACAGGGCCACTTACCTGTGTGGAAGAATTTCCCTGAGTAGCCCAGGTTGAAGGTGAAGTTTGGGATGTGGGTGCGTAGCTCATTCTGTGTATCAAACAGGGCCTGGGACAGGCAGAAGAGAAAGGGAGGTCTGAGGAAGTGCTGGGAGCCCCTGATCCTCCTGCTGAGGGCCCAAGAGGTGTTCTGCACGAGCAGAACCAGCTACAAAGCTTTCGGGGCTCCGTGGGAGATGACAGTGTGTGGGCTTGGGGTGTGACTCTGTGGCAGAGGTCTGTGGTGCAGAAGCCCTGGGTTCCAGCCCCAACCACTACAGAAAAAGAAAATGCAGGACCCTTATTCAAAAGTTACAAAGAATACTGAGGAGACGACCGTAGCACAGCCCAGCCCACAGCTGGAGAAGCCCTGCACTCCAACCGGCTCTGCTGTGCTCCTTGAAAGCTTCACGATTTCTCTGGGTCTCAGTCTCCTCAACTGGCAAATAGGTCAGAGAATCTCTCCCCCTCTGGGGCCCTGGGGCACATGATATGAGATAGTGCTGTAAAACTGCCTGATGTTTGGTGAGGGATGAGAAACAGTGGCCGTCACTACACCTGTGGTCACCGGCACTGTGCGTACAGCACTTTTGCATCGAGGATTTCTCCTCTCAGCGCAACGCAAGGCTGCTGTCAAGGGATCGTGAATTCCCAAGGACGTCCCATGGCCTAGCACCATGCCATCTCGTGCACGGCACACCCAGGGCTTTCCAAGTTATGAGGGGATCCAACCCCACTCACACGTGTGGCTGGACCCCAGGGTCCAGGGTTTACAGGCTGTAACCACCTGCTTTCGGGAGATGCCGCATACTCAGCATCCTGACCCTCCCAGGGCTGGGCTGGTCACGGGGTCTGACCAAGGCCAAGTCCTGCCAGGTGAGCCTGCATGTTCCAGGGGTACAGCCTAGGACAAGCCACTTCATCTCTGAAGCTCAGTTCCTTCCTCTGTAACACCCTCCTCAGTCAGCTGCAGCAAGGACCAAAGGAGGTGATGCAGAGAGCTGAGCAGAGCCTGGCACACAACTGGCCCTGAACAAGTGGCCTAGGAAGGTAGCATGTAAACGGTGCTGCACACTCAAGACTGCACAAGCCAAGGAGGCGGCGTGCATGTCTCTAACAGAGACCCTGACCAGCCAGAGCTCTGCAAACTGCGCTGACCTGAGCGTCCAGGAGAGGGCGCAGGAGAGTGTCCCTCTTAACCCTCTTAACCCAACCTCTAGCTTTAGAGATGGGGAAAATAAGAAACAGAAGCAGGCGATCCTGGGTTCTTGGGATGCAGTGGCATCCTTGTGGGCTCACCCTGGACCACGTCTCTCAGAGACTCCACTTGCACCTAGGGACAGACTAGAGGGACTTCCCAAGCAAGAAACGTAGAGGTCTACTCTGCTAGACGCCTGTCTCGGCACATTGTTGCTTAGATGGGAGGCTTGACTGGAATCATCTCAAAATTTTCTTTCAATAATAAAGCCCTTGAGGAAATGGAATTTCAAGAGGAAGCATAAAGTATAAAAGATCAAAGCCCTGGCCAGCTGTGTGGGCAGCCTGGAAAGTAGAGGCTGGCTGCACAGACCCTATGTCCACACCCCAGCCAGCCTGGGACCCTTAAGGCTGTGAAGCCCCGGAATGCAGGAAACAGCCCCAAATCCTCGCATCACCCCATCTTGTCATTTTATAGCTGAGGCTTGGGGCCAGGAAGGGGCCTGCAAGGGTCACCTAGCCGACGAGGGTCACACCGGGACTGGACTTGGTAGAGAGAGCCATGGCACCAGCAGCCTGCGCTGCCTGCTGCCCGGGGAAAGAAGTGGTCCTTTCATAAGCCTCTTTTTAAAGCCGCCTGCGTGCATCAAAAAGAAGTCTTGGGTTGGTGCTAATATGTTTCTAACACTCGCTAATCTCCTGTAAGAGAGGACGCCCGGTCAGCAGACACCAGTACCACTGGAGAATTTAATCCCCTGTTTTGTTTTCATTGGATTTATTGTTGTGGTTGCCCTCTCTTCGTGGCAACCCATACTGATTCCCATTCCACTAGGACGTTGTCTCCTTTGCAAATAGCTTTATAACATGTAGATGAAAACTTATTTTAAAGATTGCTTAGTGGTCTTCCTTTGCAGGTTCTCTTTCTTGGTAATAATTCACTTACATGTGTGTAAAATCTTGTGGTTTGTAAAGTGCTTTTACATATAGTTTTGTTTGATAAACACTTCTTTAATTCAACACATGCATTACACCATCTATAGATAGCTCAGCTAAACCATGCCCTGATTGATTTAAGCTCTAGTTTTTGTTTTTAAAATTCTGCAGAAGCTTTGATATTGATATAAACTTTCTTTTTCTTTTTGTTTGTCTGGGGGGGGGGTGTGTTTTTGAGACAGTTGACCTTGAACTCACTAAGTAGCCCCAGGTGGCCTTGAACTCCTCACAGCAATCCTCTTGTCTCAGCCTCCCAAGTGCTAAGATTACAGTGTGTAGTACCACACCTAGCAGATACAAACACTGTTCACTTAAAAATCATACTTAGATTAAAAGACACAGTTGCCACTTTTAGGTTTAGATAAGTGGCTGTGTCCACCTCCACAGACATATACTTGAACTCCATGCCCCATGTGTAAAATTCCTTTCTATTTAACACTTCAATAAAAATTTACATAAGCTGGGGCTGGAGATTTAGCTCAGTGGCATAAGCACCTGCCTTGCAAGCAGGCAATTGTGAGTTTGATCCCTGGTACCGATAAAAAGGAGAAAGACCAAAAAAAAAAAAAAAAAAAAAAAATTTACATAAGCCAAGGGCAGTGGCACATGCCTGCAATCCCAGTTACTAGGGAAGCTGAGGCAAGAGGAAGATCACAAGTTCAAGGCCAGCCTGAGAAACTTAGTGAGACCCTGTTTTTTGTTTTTTTTTTTTTTTGAGGTAGCATCTTGCCGAGTCTCTGAAGTACCGAGGATGGGCTTGAACTTGTAATCCTCCTGCCTTAGCCTCCCACAGTACTGCGACTACAAATGTTCTCCCTGTCTCAAAATACAAAAAATAATGCTACGGGTGGTACACATCTAAATCTCAGCACTCAGGAGGCTGAGGCACTCAGGAAGGCTGGGAGTTGAAGGCCAGCCTGGACTACATAGCAAGACCCTGTCTCAAAACAGATAAATAAATAGTTGGGCAGAGTGGCGCAAGCCTGTAGTATCAGCACTTGGGAGACTTGGGCAAGAGGATCATCTCCAATTTGATGCCACCTGGGCTACTAGTGAGTTCAAAGCAAGATCCTATTTCAAAAAAACTGAAAACCAAGCCAGGTGTGGTGGCTCACGCCTGTAATCCCAGCACTTGGGAGGCTGAGGTGGGAGGATCGTTGCGAGTTCGAGACCAGCCTGGCTACAAAGTGAGCTCAAGGCCAGCCTGAACTGCATAGCAAGACCCTGCCTCAAAAAAAGACAAAAAAACCCTGAAAACCAAAAGTCAAAACAAATCAAAATGAAACAGAAAAGTAAAATATAAAAAAAGAAAAGAAAAAGGCCTAGAGATGGAGCTCAGTGGTAGAGTACTTTCCTAGCATATGAAAGGCCCTGAGCTTAATCCCCAGCACTAAACACACACACACACACACACACACACACACACACACACACACAATATTTGAACGACACTTGCTCCTAATAAGACCATTAATAAAAGCTAAGTGGCCAGGGTGGCAGGTGAGACCATGCTATAAATAACTAACAGCACAGGGGTGGCACGGACAGGACGGACCACAAGGGGACACACAGAGTGCTGCAGCCTGGCACCCCGCCTCACCTTCACGTCCTCCACCTTCATGCGTGTGCCCTCCTTGCCCACAAAGATGTCGTCAATGTCTACCAGGATGTAGCGGTCCAAGGGCAGTGACAGGCGCTTCCCAGTGAGGAAGGCCACAGCGTCCACAAAGACGAGTTTGTGCAGCCAGAAGTTGAGGTTATTGCCAAACAGCACGCGCTGGATGCCGTCGTGGAGGCCCAGGTCTTGCACCACAGTGGCGTGCAGCGCGGCGTGCAGGCCGGCGTCGGCCCCCAGGTGTGGGATGGACTCAGAGGAGCGCGTCTTGGCCAGCAGCACAGGCTCGTAGGTGGAGTGATTCGACTGGAACACGGTCCAGTCCTCACCGGGCAGCACGCCCTTCTCCACCTCACTGGGCCGCGTCACGTAGAGCAGCGGGGACTTGGGGTTGATGCTGCAGTCCTTGAGGCCCAGGTTCGAGTGCAGGAACAGCGGAAAGCCCTTGAGCTGTGCACTCAGCAGGCTGTTCTCGTTGGCCTGCAGTGGGGCAGAGGACGGGGGGGGGGAAAGCACTGTGAGATTTACACCTCTGGGGGCCATGGCTCTTACACGGGGACCGACACCATTGATATCAACAATATCTGCAGCATTTGTTCATGGAGGGTTCATTGTACTCCGTCCCTGTACTCCGTTCATTGTACTCCGCCTATCCCTATGGTAACGCACCAGCAACTGTGCGTGACTCACTTGCCAAGCCTGGTAGTGGATCCATATATTTGGCATGCAGGAATGCTGTAAATATCACAGCAAGTGCATGATGATGCTGTCACACCCATTTTATAGACAAGGAGACTGAGGCTTGGAGAAACTAAATTATACTCAGGAAATCCTAGCAGTTAAAAGCATAGATACCAGGTGGCCTGGTCTTCAGCAAGTTATCTCACCTCTTTGGGCCTCAGCTACCGATGCTGTGAAATGTGCCCCACCCCATGACACACCTCCAGGATGGAAACGGATGGAGAACACTGGCAAAGTGCTCATCCAGTCCTCCCTGCAGCCTTAGGGACTCATTTCATAGGTAGACTTGGAGAGTGGACATAATGTCCCCCAGCACTGCCCTCCAAGGCACAGGTGGCCTGGTCCTGGAGTCTGCACACCAACCACTGGGCTGGGTAGCCTGGAGTTTCCAAATGGGTTGTGGCCACACAACTTTTTCTGCAGGAGGAATCTCTGTACGTGCCACAACGGTAAACCGTGAACTGCCACAGAGCTACTGAACTGCTTTGTTTATGAGTCTCGCATGGATACGATGTAACATACCGATGAGGAAGCCACTTCTGGAGTGGGGAGCAAAGGCGCTGTCCCCAGGACCCTCGAGACCACCCTCTCAGGGTTCCAGCTCCCAGACCCTCCCAGCTCCAATGCAGAGCCTCCTGCTGCTTTGCTCCTGGTGGCCTGCATGACACCCAGTGCCCACGGCTCCACTTGCTCACCTCAGGCCCCTGCAGCTCACAGCCCAGCCCCACCCCACCCCAGCTACCCTCTGCCTGCAGTGCCATTGGTTGTTGTTCCCTTCTTAGTTTTATTCTGTCTTCTTTGCCTAGCAGACTCCTGCTCGTTCTTCAAAACCCAACACCCATATCCTCTTCTCTGCACTAGACTCCAGGCGGCCACATTCAATTTTAGGTCGCTACAACCTCACCTCAGTTGCTATAGCCTCTGCTCAGGATCTCCCCCACCAGCCTGCCCGCCTTTGAGCTCAGTGGTTACTGTTTCCACCTCTGGCTACACTGTTCTATCTCTGGAACTCAGGAACCTCTACCCCAATGGGAGCTCATAAACAGTTTTGGTTTTATTTTTTGTCCCTCTGGTTTGCTCTGCTTTGCAGTGCTGAAGACCAACCTAAGACCAACCTAGGGCCTAGTGTAGGCCGGGGAAACTCCAGCCCTTTTGCTTGAGGACCAACTGGATTTATTTAAAAATGAAAGAGAAATAGCTGCCCAGTACCCGGCACATGAAGGATTTTCATCTGTTCATTCCACAACTACTGCATTCATTGTGCAGGACAATGAATAAAGTATACAGTGAAATTTAGTGACAAAAACCAGACAAGGTCCCTGCCCTCATGAACATTAGTCAAGACGTCCACCAAAACCACAGGAATGAACACAAGACTTCAATATAACACACACTGTGCAGAGGAGGCTCACAGTTAAAGGGCAGCAGCCCTTTAACTTCCTTTAGCTAGCTTCCTGGACACAAGTAAGCTAGCTAAAGAGGCCTGCTGGAGAAAGGGTCCTTGAGCTAAAAATGAGCAATCAACTAGTGCGCAAGTAGAGATCAGGTTCTCACAATAGCAAGTGCAAAGGCCCTTAGGTAGGAGTGCTCAGTAAGATGAGAGAACAACAAAAAACCAGCAGAGTGATCAAGAGGAAAAGGAGATGAGGTAGAAACATGTACAGAACCCTGGAGGCATGAAATGATAGCAGAAAGCCAGCAAAAACTCCACCAAAGGGTACTGAGTCAGGGCCGACAGGTTCCAGTTTACATGCTGACAAGGTCTGCGGGACTGCTATGTAAAGAATCAGTGGGTTGGGAAGAAGGAAGAGAAAACAAAGGGCCAGGAATGAGTCTGGAGCGGGTTTGGTCACACTCGGGACACCATGGGGGCTGCTCCAGCGAGCGCTGCACCAGGGCACAGTTCCCAGCCCGAGGTGGGAATAGAGTCACAGCAGAGCTGTGCCCAGCGCCAGGCCACACCTGCCGGGACGATGTCTTTCACAGGCTCCTCCACAATCCCAGGCTTTTTCCTGCCTCTCTCAAGGGCTCCGCAGGGCCATGGCCTTGGAAACCACAATGAGGAGCCCACATGGAGTCGCACACAGAAGTACCTGCAACTCCCCGCCCTGAGCCAGCCTTGGGGGTGGAGCCGCGCCCTCAGAGGCCACCTCCTCCCACATCAGGCTCCCCTAGAGCCAAGCCCACGCACTGGCCAAAGGCAGCAACTGGGCAGGCAGAGACATCTCAGGCCCTGTCCATCACCACGGAGGCCGGGAAGGTGCACTGGACAGCAAGGGCAGAGGGATCCCATTTCAAAGTCCCGACCCGGAGCCGGCTGCCAGGTGCTGGCGGCTCAGCCAGCAGCCCAGACATCAAGGCAGGGAGAGTGCCAAGTCACTGAGAGGATCCCAGTTGGCGAGCAGCCTCGGGAGGGGATGGAGAGGCCGGGCAGAGCAGAGTAGGGGTGAGGGCTGCTCAGGAGACCCCAGCTCTTCTGATGGGGTCACGCGGGCAGAGGCAGGAACAGCCCTGAGCCAGGAACAGGAGTCCGGGGCTCCACACATCTGCAGCTGTTAATCAGCTGGATGCTGTGCAGACCGCTGTGTCCCCTCTCTGGGCCTCAGGTCCCCCATAGGCCACTCTGCCCTGGCTTCCATGGCCGGGTGAGAAGCCACAAGCTTTGCTGTCAAATCTTGGCTCAGCTGCGCCATTCTCCTAAACCGTTTTCTGGGCATCAAGTCTGTATCAGAAAATACCACCCCAGCTTCACAAGACAGCTCTGGAAATTAAACAGGGTAATATCCGAAGGGCCTGGAGCTGGGCGTCCTGCAGACTAGGTGCTCAGTGGCAGAGGGCCGGGAGCTGCACCAGACCTGTGCCAGGCTGTGTTCAGACCCAGATGCCCAGAGTGGCAGGCTGACGAATGACAGTGCCAGGAGCTGGGCTGTGGATGAGGAGGCCCTGATTCCCCCCTTCAGGACCTCACAAGGGCACACACTGTCAGAGTCACAGATGGACAAAGTGGTACTGCCACTTAGGCTGTGCTTGAGGATGATCAAACCTCCAAGCAGGCAGGCATGGTGGTGCAGGACTGTAATTCTAGCACTCTGGAAGCTGAGGCAGGAGGACCACCACGAGTTCAAGGCCAGCCTAGGGTACATTATGAGACTGGCTCAAAAAAATTAAAAATTCTGTCAGCTGCCATTTCTTGAGTGGTCCTGGGGACCAGGCATTGTGCTCGGTGCATCCCATCTACCCTCTTTTTTGTCTCCAACACAGCCCAGGAAGGCACAGCTGTAACCGGCCCTTTTACAAAGTAGTTAAGCAGACAATGTTCACTCGGCTTCTAAGCATCAGGAGGACCAGACACGGGGCCTAGAGGCTTGTACTCCTGTGTCACACTGCCCTGCCCTGGGAATCTGGCTGCAGGGGGAAGGGAACAGAGTCCCCAAAGCCCTGCCAATGCTGGGAGAGCACCGGGCACAGCATTGTATGCAGCCCACAGTGCAGAAAGAGCAGAGATTCACCCCGATAAGCAGGGGGTACATATTCAGCCAAAAAACAAAAGCCTCTGCTCTAAACCAAGGGGTAGGGCTGTCTTCTGCTGCTAGGCAGGAAGGGGACAAAGAGCCCACAGGGGCGTGTCCCTGCCCCATCACTGGGCCTCACAGGAGGGCCCAGGCTTTCACGTCAGCAGCCCCAATGTGGTCTCCCTCCGTCCATCGCAGACCCCGATATCATAGTCCCTCTGATGCAGATTCCTACTAAATAAATAGTGAGACATCTGCAGTCACCACACAGAGGCCTTTGGAGTCAAGCTGCTCGCACTCAAATCCAAGAGAACACTTAGAGGACATCTCTCTTTGCCTCAGTTTCCTCCTCTCTTAACTCAGGACACTACTACCTGCCTTAGAGACCTGGCTTATTAGTGCGAAGTGAGCTAATTCACATAGAGCATGTAGGCAGCGCACGGTGCACAGAGCACCGAGAAGCTCTCAATAAATGTCGGTCATCCTGACAATTTTCAGGCCTCGGGCTCTGAACCGAACTTAATGAAGTTCACGGCAGGAAAGGGTACAGAATCCAGGAGGAAAGAAAGAAAAAAAACCCAGACAATGGAGAGAGGCTGACTTTATGCTTCTGTAAAGCCATAAACCAGGCCAGTGCTCCCCCAGAGGGTGCTCTGTGAAAGAGATCAAGCCAGGTGGGGAACAGATCTCGCCAGGCTGCTCCACCGCAGGACTTCTAAAGGCTCCGTCTCTTGGCTCACAATACCTCTCAGTGCAGAGCCTCCTGCTGCATTACCGTGTCAAAGAGCACAGCGTGGGAAACCTTCAACGAGACCAGCGCCTCCCAGCACCGCACACAATGTGCCAGGAAGCCCCTTCCCAGTCCTCCCTCTGCGCAGCTGAGCAAGCGTCCTGTGCACGCCCTGCCCCTTCGGGGTGCAGGCTCTGTGAACAGAAAGCCACCCCACTCCTTCCTCACTTCCTTCAGGTCGGTCTGTCAGCATTTCCCTCGCTGGCTATCCAAACCGGTGTCAACCTCCCACCACCCTGCGCCCGTCCCCTGCTCCACTTCCTCTTGCACACATCGCCACATGTGCTAAGTACCCTGCATCCTGTGTTTGTTTGTTTGGTGCCTGTCACCCTCCCCACTACACACAGATGTGGGCTCCGTGAGGGTTTGTCCATGCTGGTTTCCGCTACGCTCCAGCGCCTCGCACAGGACCTGGGATACTCTTAAGTGCTCAGTGCTGAACAAAAGACTAAAAATCCCTCAGAGCACCAGACCAGAGTCCCTGCCAGTACCTGCTTCCATCTTACCTGACCACAGTTGTGGGATCCCTTCATCTACAGTTCCTGACCTCCCCTCCTCAAAGATTTCCTCCCTGCCACCCGTTTGGTGGGAACGCCGATCCTGCTGATTGTCCTGGGATCCCCGCAGGGCCAGAGGAGGCCCTCACCTGCCTAATGCAATTTCTCCCTCCTCTCTCTCCCAATGCAAGATAGCTCTAGTTTGGGACAATCATGAACTCCACAGCCCACTGCAGCCAGGAGGAAAGAAAGACAGCCCAGACCACCTATGTCTGGGTTCAAATCTCAGCTCTCACTGAGGGGAAGTTACACAGTCTTACATACATAACTCAGCCCCTTTTAGCCTTTGTTTGCTTCTCTGCAAAATGGGAACACAACACACCCCTCTCCTGGGAGGACTGACATGTTAGGTTTCACCACCCGCAGCCCTGGCAGAACATGCCTTCCTGCATACCTTGAAGAAGCCAATGATGCCCACACCGTAGGCCACACAGTACTTGTCCAGGAGCTCCCGGTTCCAGGCGTCCAGGTTGACGTACTTGAGGATGTTCTCGTAGATGATGAGGGCGAAGCGGCCGCGGCCTTTGTCGGTGAGTGTGGGCATGTCCCCCTTGCCCGGTGCGATCTCTGTGCGGTACTTGAAGCGACTGGACTCCAGGATGGCCACCACCTCCTGGCCCAGCTGCGAGTAGAGGCTCTCTACAAACACCAGGACCAGTGGGTCTGTGCGAGATGGGGTAACCGGCTGCACAGGCTTGAGTGGCAGCAGGCGACTGGGGGCCACAGGCGGTGGGTCCCCGCAGTCGGACTCGGGGGCGTCCACCGAGGGCTCCAGGCCCCGCTTCCAGCCGTACAGGTAGTAGGCTGAGACGAAAACACTGAACAGGCAGAAGACGAACAGCAGGAAAAGGACAGCCTGTGGGGACACGTGCCGACACAGCCTCCGCAGGCACGCCAGGGCAGGCATCCTGGCCCCCGAGACCGCAGCGGCCGGAGGCCTGGCCTGCCCTGGCCACCCCGAGGCTCCACACGGGAGACACAAGAGTTGTCCACTGACCAAGAAATTCACAGAGACTTAGGAAGCGGAGCCCACGGTGGGCAGTGGGAGAGGAAGACGGGGCCCCGGCCTTCCTCCCCGCCAGGGGCGCAGTCTGCAGGCTGGTCTGGCTCCTTCCTTCCTCTGCGCCCCTTTATGTCACCATGGCAAACCCCCACGTGGTCCTGTGCAGAGCAGAAGTGCCCCAGGGCGTCAGGGCCTCCTAGGGGGGCTGCACAGCAGGCCGGAGGACACAGGGCCAGCGGAAGGGTGCCGCATGCCACTCACACAGGCGGGCCACAGGGCTGTGGAGAGAACAGAAGGGTCAGGGTGGGCTCTGGGGGCAGCTGACAACAGAAATACAGGTCCTCGGGAAGCTAGCCCCAGCTCAGAGGCTGCTGCTGACCTCACAGCACCGTGTGGTAAGAGCAGGCAAGCTCTTTAATCTCTCTGAGCTCAGTTTCCTTGTGAATGAACTGGGACAAACAGTAAGTAGCACCCACATCACAAAGGGTTGAAGGACCCAGTCCATAAGCATAAACTCCTTAGGCTGCTACCCAATGTATAATAGCAACAGTGGTGCCTGTTATTTCTCACATCATCAGAGTTCAAGACTGGGTCAAGAAAAATCCAGAAACAGGAAAGATAAAGTAAGACACCGCTACACACTTGTGAGACTGAGGAGCAAGGAATAGAATCTAAATCAAGACCAACACCACACCCCACTCTTCCCAGCTCACTGCTCTCTCTGAATGACCCGAGCAGCCCCACCCAACAGAGGAAAGGACTGAGTCTCCAGGAGAAGCAGCCACCGCAGGATTCAGCTCTGAGGCACCCTGCCTTGGCCGCCCAAGAAGGCTTCAGCACCTCTCCTGTGCTGGGCGCTCATCTATAACCCCTGAGGGTTACCGAGTATATGAGCCTAAGGAAAGTGGTACAAGAAACAGTCAGAAATGGCTGCTGCTGCTGCCACTTACTCCATCCACACGCAAGCATGCATCTCTGGTGCCCGAGGCACATGCTCGCAGGGGCACACGGTAACCCTGGACACCAGGTGACCAAACCCCCATTAAGGTCCTTCAGGGGACAGTGAGGAGGCTTCCCTCACTGGGCCTCAGTCTGCTTTGGGCCCAGCAGCCCGCACCCCATCCAGGCCTCTGTACCCATCTCAATAGCAAGTTAACTGAGACCCACAGATACTGACAAAGACTCCAATTCCCTTAACCCCAGAATATACTCAAGCATGAGTCAAGGCCAGAGACAGTGAGGTTTCCTAGTGACCCAAAGGGCACAGCTGCTGAGAGCTAAGAGCTGCCCACACCAGGATGAAAGCGCAGGAGCTGAGGCGGCCAGAGAAGGAAGGCAAACACGGCACTTGGCCCTGGAGGTGAAGATACCTGACGTCCCTCCCAGCCCCAAGACTGCACGACAGCTTGCTAGACACCCAAAGGCTGCACCCCTTAGAGTTTACACTAGAAGTAGTCACTGTAGAAGTGCGTAAAGATATCCCCCACAGGAATAGGAATCCTGTTGCACTATTCAGTAATGCATGCCAACAAAGGAAGAATTGTCTTTAGAAATTATAATATGACGCAATTCTGAGCAGCCATTCACAGTTATGTTGCAAAAGGACATTTACTGACATTCACTACATATATTGTTGAAGCGGAAAACATTTATAAAAGTTCGTATGTATGTTCATATTTCTGTTAAATATTTTTATATATAGTCCAAAAACTGGAACTAAATACAAAAAAATAAATAACTAAAAACTGTTAACAATGATTATCTCTGGTGATTTTCATTTTCTGCTTTTGTGTATGAAATGAAGAAAGGAGCTGGACAGCTAGTTTGGTTCTAGCTGTGCTGTCACATCGCCGTGTGACCCTTAAGCACAGCTTCTTCTGCTCTGTCTTCCTGCCTGTTATAGTAGACTTAGCCAAACGGCCTCTGGAGCTCCTCTACCTCCGATGCTTCACACTGCAGCCTTACTGTGTGCCAGAGGCAGCCTGAGGGACCAGACAGCCAGGAGAGCAGGCCCTACAATGCAGGGGGGATGCATGTGGCAGGTGGAGAGGGCAGAGGTGTTTGGGTGATGAACCCCTCTAGAGGGGGAAAGGGCCCTGGAGAATGGCCCCTGAGCTCAGCAGAACAGGGCTGGCGTGGGACAGAGAGCACAGCACATGTCACGGCCTGGAGACAAGGGATTATGTGGTGCTTTCCAGGGACTCCTTGCTTTCTAGGTGAGCGCACAGCAGCGGAGGGCAGATGTCCTGACAGAGCCAGGAAGACCGGAGTGAAGGCTCCTGTCCATGCCCAGTACCCACAGGGTGTCAAATTCACCACTGATAAGGGCTGCCTGCAGTCACAGCCAAGCCCCACCCCTGGCTGGGGCCAGGACAGAAGTACACCGGGTGCGGAGGTAGGGATGCTCCATGGTGTGCTGCCCACGTTAGCCACCCAACCCCAGGGAAGGAGTGGAGCCCCCAAATGCTGTAGTCACACACCCTCTATCACATTAACAGCCTTTCAGCATGTAAATGATGCAATCCAGACAGTTCCAGGCATCTGTGGGTCAAAGACCCCTGTGGGAGTCTGACATTTTCAGATACAGAAAATATGCACAGTAAAACATGCATGTGGCTGCCAAAGGCTGGGGTTGGAAGGATGAACAGCCAGGGCCCAGAGGATGCTTAGGAGAGTGAAACTATTCCAAATGACACTAAAATCATGGGTACATCTCACACACTTGTCCAATCCAGTGAACACGCACCATCAAGAGTAAGTCTGGCTGGAAACCATGGGCTCTGTGTGATACTGATGTGTCCGTTCAGCTTCATCAACTGCTGGTGATGGACACTCCAGGGAGGATGTTGAAAACTGGAGGGGGATGGGGTTCCACATGCGTAATACAGGAAATCTCTGCAGTTTCCTTTCAGTTCTGCTGTGACCCTAAAACTGCTCTAAAAATATAAACTTTAATATTTATGCATATGTACACACGTGCACATGCCCCATGTACACACACACACTGGAAATGTAACAATGTCAAGGAATCCAGACACCATGCCCTAAGCTGAGGCATGACAGACTGGACCAGAAGTCCTGCAGCCATGATGGTGGACCTTTCAGAGACAAATACCCATACTGCAACCAAAACCCACTTATTTATCACACAGTGCCAACACCGCAATTAAACCTGAGGCTTTAGTTTAGAACAACACTTTTTTTTTTTGGTTTTTTATCGGTACCGGGGATCGAACTCACAACTGCCTGCTTGCAAGGCAGGCACTTATGACACTGAGCTAAATCCCCAGCCCCTAGAACACCACATTTTGTCTTAAAATAAAAACACAGTAATACCCATGCCATAGGTTCACCACTGCTGACCTAGTGTAGACTTGAGTCAGGTGGCTTCAGTGCAAACCCAATTCTACTCAGGAGCAATGTCATCTTGGGCAAGTTCCTTAATTTCTTGGTGCCTCAGTCTCCCACTTTGTAAAGCAGGACAATTTCAACTACCTCCCCAGGTTGTGAAAACTGAGTGAGCTGCTGGATCAAACACTCCTCCACACCTGGCACACGCACGGAGGAGTGGTCAGCCTCGGGCCTCGTGCACTCCTGTTGCTTATTTAACATAATCACAGCAACACTTCTCAATATGGACAGTAACTTCTCACAAAAAGCACCTGGAGTTCATCTCTCTGGCTCAAGTCCCTGGCAGCCCAGGAATTCAGCAGAGGTGAGTACACCAATTTCAGGGAAGCAGGGGGAGGTGGGGTGTGCTTGCTCTGGGCAGGGAGCAAGCAGCCTCTCAGGTCTGAACAATCCCATCTTCAGAGAAGGAGGCTGAGGTGTTCCTTGGGGGACTGGGATGAGGTCCTGGCAAACCCAAGTCATAGAGGGGGCAAAAGAGTCACCAGAGAAAGCCAAATATCCTGGGGTAGGGGAGAGCCACTGCTTTGAAAATGAAGCGCTGACCACCCAGCAGGCTGGCAAGGGCATCTCTGTACAGCTTCCCTGCCAACTTTCTACCCCGCCTGCACTTTAGAGCCACTGTGGCTTGAGGGTTAAAGAACTGGAGGCTTCCAATCCCCCTGGGGCCACCTAGCACAGCTGGAGCTGGGGGCGAAGGGCCCTTGCTGCCCGGCCTGCGCTGACTTAATCACCAGCCCTTTTCCATAATCCACAGCCTCGCCCAGCCAGTCAGCCATCTTGGTCAAGCATCTGGGCCTTTGCTGGTGGGGTTCCCGTTGTAAAGAATGCCTCCCCAAGCCCCTTGGGACACTTACTCATCCCTCCCCACCCCAGATCCAATGTCCTCACCTCTCTGAAGTCGTAGCCAACCACCACCCATCCTGCCCCCAAGGCCCAGTCCTCGGGGCTCCCGCCCACCCCACACACAGTGCAGAGGCTGAAAACCAGGTCCCTGGGGCAGATGCGTGCTTTTTGACTTCTCTAATCTGGGCTTAGTCAGTATGTTAAAATCAAATTTCACTTACAAGTCAGCACTTCTAACTTTTCTTTAAAAAAAGCATGGTTGGCCAGGCATGGTGGTTCATACCTGTAATACTAGCACTTGGGAGGCCAGGCTGGAGGATTGCTATGAGTTCAAGGCCAGGCTGGGCTACAAAGTGAGGTCAAGGTCGCCGGGAACTTCAGTCTAGTGATACTGGGTTCAAATCCCTGCCAGACACATCAGCTGAGGTGTAAGCAGTGTCTGCCTCAAATGGACCACATATTCTCAAGTCCACAAGCACCACCTCCCCCACTAGCCCAGAGCCAAGCACACCTTAATGTTGGCCTTCACACAGCTCTGTCTCCTAAGGCCTATAACCCTTTGGGAAGTACCAGGACTTACCAGCTCTGCACTGCACAGTCAGTCCCTACCTGTGCAGGTCCTTAGCAAACTCAGGTTTGCTTTCTTCCTTGGCCCCAAGTCTTGGCTCCTAAGGGCAGCAACCAAGTCTGAGTGATGGTAGAAGCTCTCACCTTCCCAAGAGTCAGGTTTTTACAGAAGACTTGGGATAAATGACTGACTGAGTGCCTGTGACTATTCCCACTTTACAGATAAGGAAACCACTGAATGTCCATGTTTATATGTGTGTGGCTGGGGAGTACACCCAGGGCCATCACACTGAGCTATTTCCCCAATCCTTTTTACTTTTTATTTCAAGACAGGATCTCACTAAGTCACAAAAGTTGCCCAAGCTGTGTTCAAATTTTGCTCCTCCTGTCTCAGCTTCTGAGAGCGCAGGGCTTACTGGCATGTGCCGCGGGGCCTACTTTTTTGTTTTGTTTTTTGAGACAAGATGTCACTATGCAGTTTAGCCTAGGCTAGCTTCAAGGCATGAGATCCTCTTACCTCAGCCTCGCAAGTGCTAGGATTACAGATGTGAGCCACCACACCTGGCAGGAAACCCCTAAATATTGATTCAAGTAAGTTTAGGCTTGTTCTTTTCTTCCTCCATGAAATCCATGAGTTTCTATGTAATAACAACAAAAACAGCATTATAGTTATCATCATATGTATACTGAGGCCATACCTTAAGCATTTACTACAAGCCTGACACTGTGCTCAGCACTTTTCATGCCTTATCTTGTTTAATCCTCACTAATACTGTCGTTATCCACATTTACAGTTGAGGAAAAATGAGACTCAGGCAGGTTAAGTCATTTGCCCAAATTCACAGCTATTTGCTGGGAGAGCTGAAATTTGAATCCAGACCCCATGAGAGGGGGTGCTCCAGAGCCTGTGAGGGACCCTACGCTGTGGCGCATGAGGTAGACCTCAGCTCTGAGGTCTCCAGCCCTCGGCCAGTCTTCTACCTTGTTCTCCCAGCCCCACTTTCCCCGCCAAGGTGCTGCAGATAATGAATGAGATGCTCTGGTTGTCATGGAGACACCATGGCAACACTGCACTTTCGGGAAATGCCACAGTAACCGTGGCCACTGCTCTAGGCTTGAAAGTCACTCCTTACCGCACCTCCCTACTTAAAAGTGCTCTGGTCCCCATAACCCTCTCAGGACCCACAGCAGAAGAGGGGCTTTCTTACAGAACAAGCTGTCCAGAGACTGGGACGGGGAAGGGGGTTCAGCTTGGGCCCAGTGTGAACGAGTGGGCTCCAGGAATGAGACCAGAGCTCCCTGAAGGCAAGCGCAATAAAGACTGAGCTAGCTGTGCCTTTGACAGTGAAGTGTGGCCAGTAACCCAACCCACGTGCACTTACACTTACTGTGTGTCAGCAGGTCCATGACAAAGGCTATGTGCATGCTCATCCCATTTCACCCCAACAACCCAAGAGACACCAGTTCGGTGGCTGGTAGCATCATAGTTAAGGCTCAGACTAGAACCAGCCTCCCTGGGCTTGAACCCTGGCTCTATTATTTACTGACCTTGTGACCGCTCTGCAAATCTCTGAACTACTCTGAGCCTCAGTTTCCTCAACTGGTTTATACTGTTTAATCCACCTAAAGGATCAGATGCCAAGACTGAAAGATGATCTAGGCTAATAAAATGATCATCCATTTAACAGATTTGAAAACTGAGGCTCAGAGAAGAACTGGCCCAAGGCCAGGTATCAAATTCCCAGTGGATCCAAAAAGAAAGGATGGGAGGCTGAGCTGAAGTCACAGCGGATGAGCAAGAGGATGAGCTCCAGGAAAGAGTCTGCATTCCCCTGGGAGTGGGGAACAAGCAGAAGATTCACCCTGTTCCCTTGGTCTGACATTTATCAAGCTCCCCCAGGTGCCCAGCACAGCACTAGGCTCTGAAAAAGCAGAGGTGATCCAGATCTTCAAAGGAAGCTGGTTTCTAAAGATCTCTGAGCATCTGGGTGTTATGTCTGGTATGCTGCTGCTGCTGCTGCTGCTGCTGCTGCTGCGGGGTGACGGAGGAAAGACTGTACAGCCCGGAGTGCTCACACTGCATGCATTTCATTTCCAGGCTGGGTCATTCCTGACGATGCCCCCATGCAGCCCACTGACCTGCACGCACACTGACATGTGGATACTAGCTAAAGTAAAGCCACCCTTTTCACCATATCAACATGCTCAGAGGAGGCATCACAGGCACCTCAGGCTTTGGGAGGGGCAGGAGAGGAGGGCTGAGAGACCTCAGTGAGAAAAATGCAGCAATGGGCAGCAAGGCTTGGCCTGCGTGGGCGCGGAACTAAGGGAGTGAGGGGCAGTGGTGGCCGCAGGCGCGGACCGTCCCACTTGTACTCAGTCACTCCCCGCAGCTGAGCCTGCCGCTCCCAGCCTGCCACACCCCCAGCAGTCACACCACCACCCACCAGCAGCCACACCCCTCCCGGCTGCCCAGCCCTGCCAGTCACCCTGCCACAGCCCGCCCCACCCACCCCGCTTGGCACTGGAGAGAAACCCTCGGCATTTGCTTTCCAGCTGTACGGGGGTTTCTCAGCACCATTACACTCCTGGAGGCTGCAGAAAAGCACCAGTAAATCCCTTGTCCGCTGTGTCACCGCACCCCCACTGCCCACCCTGCCCCCACCCCACCCGCAGTGCCGCCCGGCCCGGAGCCAGCTGCCACCTGTCGGCCACCACCAACACCACCACCACCAGAGCTGCCACCGGCAGGGACTGTGCGTAGTCTGCATGAGAGTGACAGCACAGTCCACTCCGCAGTGAGCACAGCAGGAACGCAGGCCTGGAGAGAAGGATGGGAAAGAACTCCAGACACTGGGCTGCCGGTCCGCGGAAGCCCTACCCATGTCCCAGTGTCAGCTGGGAGCAGCTGAACGGCTCCCCTGGGGATCAGCTCTCTGCCTCCCCATGGCAGGCTCAGCGGCAGCCTCTCAGGGGAACACTGGCTTCCCGCCTCCACGCACCACCTTCCAAGGCAGAGCAACCGTAGCATGGCAGTGCTCAGAGCTGAACTGTCACCCTGGCCAGTTACTTCCCCTTCCTGAGTCTCTAAACAGGGCAACAACAGCAACCTCCATTTCTTAGCCGTCACTATCTATATTCTTCCCACTTCACGAACAAGGAACTGAGGCCAGAGACCCACAGCACTGATTGGTAAGCAACTGGAAACCTCAGCACAGAGCGGGGCGCTTCCTCCCTGTACCCACAGCTGACACTGCCAGGCGTCCTGCACGTTCTGTTCTTGGCTCCCTTTTGTGTGTATTTTAACATCACCACCAGCAGCTAATGACAACTCCTAGAAGCAGCCCCCAAAATGTTCCACCTCAACAGGCACAAAGCTCAGCTTACTCCATAGTTTTCAACTTCAGAATTTGTCCTGGGAATCCTGGCAGGCAGGGAAGGTCCACAAGGAAGCCTCAGGAACTTAGATGCCACTTGCTGAGAAATGGCCTCTCTCCCATGGTCTGCAGTGAGTGCTCACCTTTGTACCAGGTCTGAAGAAAGCGTTTACCGGGCAAACAACCTGGACAGCCTGGGGGCAGGCCCAGGCCAGCTGCCCTCAGGGTCCAAGGACAAGCTTCCTGGCTTCCTCCCTCAATCCTCACACCCCCATGGTGGTACCACTGCACATGCAGTGATAAGAAACTGTTCCTTACACACAAGGAGACTCAGGGAGGGCAAGTCATTGACTCAGAGTCAAGTAGTTGGTGGAAATGGAGCTAGAATGGGTGAGCTTTCCATGCTCACCTCGAAGTCCCTCTCACAGTCCCATAGGGTCTCAGTGCCCAGCATCCCACCCACTGCTCAGCCAGGTCCAGAGCCAAAAGGCTGCTTCTGGCAGGCACCCAGCCCAGGTGTGCGGGCACAGCTTCTCCAGCAATGGGTAAGCCTCGCACCAGCAAAGCCTACATGGACAACAAGCAGCAGGCTCCCTCCAGGAAGGAACACCTCAGCCCAAGGGTTCTTATCTTCCCCGCCCCAGAGGTCCCACACGAGAAGGGGCAGCCTCATGCTAAGAGGGGAGAGGCAGAGAGGGTCAGAAGTAAGCAATGTCCACTGGCAAAACAGCTAAAGGGACGATGATGACCAGCGGTCTCACGGGTGTGGTGTATGTCAGGCACAATACCAAGCGCTTCCCCATCATTTCGTCAGTTGTCATTTATTCCCAATGAAGTAAAAATAACTGTGTGCCTGGAGTTTCTCCCCTGTCTCTCTGCCCTGCAGAGGAGCTGGACCACCCCAGCACACAGCTCCCAGAGGCCCGGCTCCAAGCTGCCAAAGGCCCCAAGAGGTTCAGAGAAGCAGACCCACGAGAGGCCCCCATCACACAGACACAGAGCCAGACTGCAAAGCACAAGTACGGGCACATGCTCTGAACACTCGGGTCAAGAAGGCAGTGTCACTTCCAAGTGGTGGGGATCCAAGGACAGCAACCTGATGGAGGAGGGGAGCCAGCCTGGAGTCTCCAGCACTTGCTGTGTGTCTCTGGGCAGTACCTTTCCTCCTCTGAGCCTCTGCTTCCTCGTCTGCACAAGATATGTGGTCCATAGCAGAAGCCTGACCTTCTGGCTTATAAAACATTCTCAGAAGCCAATAACGGCTGTTAGCAGATTTTGTCCCCAGACACACAAATTCAGAATGGCCCCTATTGAAAGCCACATACAGAGTATGGAAGCACTCCAGCAGCACCTTGTCTTTGACAAGCCCTGGCTCTTCTGGACTGGCAGGACCATAGCCACAAATGTCACGATTGAACACCCTGGCCCTCATCATCCCACCTCCCTCAGGCCCTGGTCCATCTTTCACTCTGGGATCTGCTGGACTCAGGCAGATTTGGGGATGGGTCTTTCCACTGCAGTCTGTTAGGTCAGCCTGGGCCACCTCACTGACCACAGCTGGAGCCCTGTGCTGAGCTCCAGGACAGCTGTACCCACAGGTCTCCTACATGGGTAAATACACACAGTATGTACACAATCAGACACACCTAGGATGACTGGACAGGCAGAGGACTTGGGATGATAGCCAGGCGCAGGGAAGCCAGAACAGACGGGGGAGCCAGGAAGAGAGTGACAAGACCCACCTGAGTTCGGGGAGCTGCAGCTGGTGGCTGCCTGGTTCCTCTGTACTTGCTTGCGTCTTCTCAATGGTTCCACACTTCACACAGCTGCACCTAATCCCAGAGCCAGGACAAATGGCGTTAGTGTCAGCCCAGTCTCCTCCCCTAGAGGGCGGGAGGGAAGAGGGGAGGGAGGTGGCCCAGGACACCTTCAGCCACCAACCCCATTCCTGGAAGCCTCTATCACCCTCACCATCTCCTTTGCCAGGGCCACCAGTCCCCACCTCCCGGATACAGAGAGGAGTCCCTCCCCAAAGTGTTCCTCAGGCCCCTGCCTGCTGCAGGGCCCCACCTGGATGTGCCCTCCATGGGCAAGGAGAAAGCATGTCCCCAACCCTCTTGCCAATGGTCCCTCTCAAGATAGGTGGGGCCCAGAGTGGAAGGAGCCTGTGTTGACAAAAAGGATAATGGGTCTCCAGCTCTGGCAAACGTCCCATGTGACCCTAGGCAAGGCCCTGCCCCTCCAGGCATCAGTTTCTCCACCTGTCCCAAGAAGAGTAAGACTCATATCCCCTCGAGATCCGGCTGGCAATCAAAGTGTCTGTGACACTGGCTTTTGGGCCCAGCCCAGTCAGCTGCCAGGCCCTTGCCCACATCCCACCCTGCAGAGAAGGAAGAAAGGTGACTGGCGGAAGTGCAGAAAGTACTGGAGTCTGGGCCAGTGTCAAATGCCAGAACTGAAAACGCCTTACAAAGCTGAAGACCACAGTGGACAGGCAACTCAGCCCTGGTCACACAGTGGCCAGCCTACGGCAGCCTGGAGATATTCCAGTTCTCCACGGCTGGGTGGCTTCTTTACAGAAACATTTCAAGGGTCCATTCCATTCCATCCTCTGTGCCTCCTCAGAGGATGCCAAAGGTAAGCCAAAGCTCTCTGCTAATGGCAGATTCTCAGCCCCAACAGCAGCAATAGGAAAAGAAAAAACAGTGTGTTTGTATGATGCGGGCTGGGACAGAGGCTGGGCTGAGCATCTCCTTCACGGCATGAGGGTGGCCTGGGCTCCTGCCAGCCACAGGTGAATCCTTAGGAGACTTTTCCAGGGATTAATAGCCTTGGCCCCCCGCAAAGTCACCTGAGGCCCAGTGGACAGGCCCAGCAGTGGTGATGGCAAGACTGATCCAGAACCCCCCAAGACCAGCTGGCTCTGGAAGATGTCAGAGCCTGGGAAACCGAAAAGCATCCAGGCTCCAAGGCGAGAGCGGGGCCATGGCGGGCGGCACTCAGAGATGCAGAAGTCCCCTAATCTCCCAGAGGCCTGGTGGGCACAACGTGGGGCTTGCTGAGACCAAGAGGCATCATTGAGGGCCACATGAAAGCAGGCAGTCCCTGCAGACCTGCTGGGGCTTGTCACCATGACAAGAACCTGCCGCCAACGCACCTCACACCTCGGGTATGAGGGGCTGGGCACGCTTCCAGCAGACACAGCTTGGGCAGGAGCAGGGGTGGTGCTTGTGGGCGGAGGCCTCAGCTTTCTCCAAAGCTTAGGCAGCTGGAGGGCAGACACAGCAAAAAGCGCCAGGTGACCTACTTCACCAGGCCACTAATGAATGGGACGGGGGTTCAGTGAGACTCTAGAGGAGCTTCCAGGTATCCTCAGCAGTTCACAGATTCAGGCCACATCAGGCAGTAAGCAGGACCATGTTCGGAAGGCAAGCAAGGGCCGGGGTACGGATCCTTACTCCACGCAGTCTGCAGACCCACGCTGCACACCCCAAGGACTGCCTGGATACCTCGTTTGCCTCAATCTCACCTGCCTGTGACCTCAGGCAGCACGGCTCTTTACTGGGCCTTGTTTGTATTCACACACTGAGCAGAACTGCACTAGGTGATTTCACAGGCCCCTTCCTCCTGAGCTGGGTAACTCTGTAGGAAGCATAACAACCTCTGGTAAATGCCCAGAAATGGGCACCAGGCCCCAGCTCCACGAAGTCCCACCACCCACCACGCCTGTGGGGGTAAGCACTGCATATGACTACCCTGCAACACCAGGTGCTGGGTTTGCTAACTTCATGGCTTCCACATTGACAGGGCCTAGTTTTGCAAATGTGGAAACTGTGGCTCATGCAGGTTAGGCAACTTGTTCAACCTGGCACCTGGGAAACGCTTACTCGCTGAGTGAGATTCAATCTAACAACACCTCGATTTTAATCCCCACATTCCGTGGCATCAGCCGCTGAGAACCCAAAACCCACGAGGCCCAGAAAATGCCATGGGGTCTTTGCACCTCCCACATTTTCTAGCACATAATGCTGGGGCCAATGTGTGAGGCGGCCAGGGGCAGGCAGGGATGGAAGCCTGTGTGGGCACTGAGCATTCCGCAGCCTCACCAGCCAGCCAACAGCCAGCCAGTTGTTCCCCACTATGGTCACAAGGTCCTTGCTGCCATCCGCACACAACAGCCACCACCTGCCACTTTTAAATCGTCACATGCACAACGCATCTTCACAGGCATTGTTTTGGCAGCACGACACAGTTTGTAAAGGCTCTGTTGTGATTTCTTCCCATTTTCTTGGAAAAGGAAAGTAGGATGGCCAGATGATGGATGACCCCCCAAAAGGCACCAGAGAGAAGGTGTTTGAGAATGAACCTGGGCCCATTTCCTATGCCACCCTGCACAGGCCTGGAGCTCCCCATTGCTCCTACCAGTCCTGATGGGCCTCTGTGATAACAATGCATGCCAATGCGACAACCACTTGGCAGCTCGCACCTCGCCAGTCTTTCAAGTGTCTTCACGGGTGCCCGATCCCACCACCCCCATTAATTAGTGTTGCCACCGCTTTCATTACACCAATGGGGGATGCTGAGGCCCAGGAAGGTGGGCCATCATGCTCAGGGTCACCAGCCTAGAAGAGACCGAGGTGGCACTCAAATCCACACAGTTGGGCCTCAGAGCTTAAAGACTAAACCCCTGTGCTGCACAGCTGTCTGGGAGGCTCCCTTCCAAGCAACCACTGGAAGGGAACAGGAGGCCAGACACACCAAGCAGTGTGTGCCTAGCAGGGCAAGGCAAGATTACGATAACAGGAGGGCAAACAAAGCTCTCAGGAGCCTGCAAGAGGGAGGCTGGCGGACACCTCTGTCTGGGCACTAGGCCAGGACTCTGGGCTATGGACATGGGAACAGAAGGAGGTGACAGATACGAGAGGGAGGCCGAGTGAGACCTTGGTCAAGTGCCTTGCTCTCTCTGGACCTCAACTTACCCAGCTGTTAGGGAAAGTCCCTGGAATATCTCCAGAGCCCCTGCCATCCTGAAAGACTCTTGGACCCTGGGAAAACAAGCAAAGCCCAGTGATGCCCTGGCTATAAGCTCCTAAATGTCCTTGGCTGTCCTAGAACAGCTCAGCTGCTGGAAACGAGGCATCCAGCAGTGAAGGGCTTGGCTGGCATGCCTGGGCACCAGTGAAGTGTGGGTGCTTAGGGGGCCACATTCCACCCACTGTCAGCCTCTCTTCAGCTCCACAGAAGCAGGCACCACCCTGCCTGGACTCAGACCAGAGCCGAGGTCATACCCAAGTCCCCCATGGAATGCTACTCCAGGGCCTGCCTGGCCCACCACTCCATATGTTACTTTTCTTTTTCTTTTTTTTTTTTTTTAATAGGGTCTCACTATGTTGCCTAAGCTGGCCTTTAACTCTTGGGCTCAAGGTATCGTCCTGCCTCACCTCTAGGGTAGCATGTGCCACCCTGTATGCTACTTTAGTCCCATCACTGTGACCACTCCTCCACGCCCCTCACTCACATTCCACACAGCTGACCCGTAGGATGACCATAAAGAACCTCCAGGGGACTGTAAAGGAAACAGCTACCCTCATCCCCAAGGGACCTGTGTGAGACAGAGGCTACATGCCAAATCGACAAAAGCCCCTGGCAAGGGAAGCAAGGAGTGGGGAGGCCACAAGGGCCAGCACTCAGAAGGAGGAAGGTGCAGGGACTTTCCAAGAGGACCCTAAGCCTCTGCACTCATGGCTGCTCCATCAAACCCCTATGCAACATGCTCCTGCCCCACAACCACCTATGGCTCCCACTGGCCCCTGGGGCGAAGCCCCTTAACCTGAGGGGCCATGCAGGCCGTTGTTCCTCCCAGCTTGTGTTTACCGAGGGTGTTACATGCCAGGGCCTCTGCTCAGAGCTTTCTGAATACAGTGGCACCTCCACACTCATGGTTAGTGGGTTCTGGAAGTCATGAGCACCAAAAACACCAGGATCAAATAAGTCATGCTGGCTGCAAAGAGCAGCAAATCGTGAGGCAACAGACACCAACAGTTCTAGCTTGCAGGTCAGGCACTAAACAAATGACAAGTACTAGAACAAAATTTTCAGATCAAGAAGCATTGAGTACCTTGTGTATGTGTGTATATGGGTATGTGTATGTTTGGTGCCGGGAATCAAACTTATGACCTCATGCTTGCCAGACTGGCGGTGTGCTGCTGAGCTATATCCCAGCCTCACTTTGAGTATAGCTACAGTGTACCAATAAACTTAAAAAAAAAAAAAAAAGCATCGAGTACCGAATTTAACAAATTTCAAAGGAGTTGAGAACCCAGATAGCAGTATATTTCTCATTTGACCCTCACAGTAACCCGGAGAAGCAGGGACTATGAGTGGCTCATTATTACAGATGAGAAAATCCAGGCTCAGGGAGTTCATGTCACTTTCCCAGAGTCGCTCGCCAAGTGGCAGAGGAAGGATTCACATTCGAGCCTTCCTGACTCCAGGCCCAGATTCTTAACCACTGCACTATGGGTCTCCATAAACACCTCCCACCAGCCTCTGACCATAGGGGCCAGCTCAACACTGCAGAGGACGCTGCAGCACAGAGCGCTCCCCAAAGGTAGCAGGGCCAGCGCAAGGCCTGAGGCCTCCTGCTCGTTCAGCCCCGGGTCCCATCCACAGGACATGCCAGGCAGCCAGGCGGGGACCTCCACCAAGATGGTCCCTAGATCTGCTTCTGCCTTTGTCCAGAAAGAAGGGAAAAGCTGGAGGTTCTGGGAAGAACAAAGAATGTGATGAGGCCAGGAGGTTTTATTCTCACAGAACAGACTCAAGGTTGAGG